GCTCCTGTTCATATGGATGGTGCTTCTCAGATGACAAAGGACGTTTGTGCCTTGTTTCAGCATCTGCTCTCCTGGGGCCCTGAGACCAGGTGGTGGCACCGGCAGAAATGACGGTGCCACCTCACTGATGGGCATGCTGAGGCTCGGAGTGACACGGAGGCTGGGGGCGTGCAGAGCAGGGGCTGGAACAGAAGCCTGGGCTCCAAATCTTAAGAGAGAGAGTTTCCCAAACACCAGGAAAGAACAGTGCATCGAGACCGGGTCGTTCCAGGCCCGCGTGCTGCGACCGTTTCCAGCCGGCCGCTGGCTGACCACCCGGTAGACGAGGGAGGTCGGGGCCCTCTGGGGTCCCTCAGGTGTGATGGGCACTTTCCAGGCAGAATATGATGTTTCCCACCCAGCACCGCTGTGGGACATTGCTGCTTCGCAGTCAGTGTCCCCGCTTGGGGACAGGTTTGGGGCTAAAACCCGGACGTGCCAGGCCATTGGTTCTGTCCTCAGCCATGTGGCCATGTGTTCCCCGTGCTCAGTGGCATGGGCTCCACGAGGGCAGGACCTTCCGTCTCTGTTTCTGACGGTTTCTCTGTCTCACTGGCCCGTCTGTCTCCGTTTCTGACGGTTTCTCTGTCTCACTGGCCCGTCCGTCTCCGTTTCTGACGGTTTCTCTGTCTCACTGGCCGTTCTCCGTGTTTCGGGCTCGGCGGCAGAGTCTCAGTCCCCGTTCCTGTCCGTGTCCCCTCTGCTTCTCCTGCCCTCCTGCCTTCCACTCAGGCTGTCACCTGTTGGACTGGGCGCCTCAGAGGTGTCAAGTGTCAGTGGCCCCTGGAATGTGGGGCGCCAAGCACTCCGGCGGGGGGCCGTTGTCAGGGCAGCCCAGCTCCTACTCGGGAGACGGCGTTTATCCCTGTGACCGTGGACTGTGCCTTGTCTGTGCGTGTCTCCATCGACCTGGGGGGTTAGAGTCAGGGGCTGTGAGCGCCCCTGTCCAGGGAGGGCAGCCGGGCCCACAGCAAGCTCATGGCAGCCCAGTGTGGGGCGGTTTCCACGGCTCCAGGCGTTGATGTATCTTGTTCTGATTGTCCTGGGACAGTAACACCCAGTGAGGTCAGAGATTTGGAGTGGTGATGATGTTATATCCTCCACCCAGAACGGTCTCCTTGAGTTTGGAGGTTGCGTTTCCCGCCTCCTGGCCACCTCTCGGCTCTGCCTCCTGCCTGTGGGGATCCCCTCCTTCCTTAGGGGAAGAGAAGGCCTCTGGAGGTTCCCAGAAACCTAGCGGCAGAGGAGGTGGGGCTAGGCCAGGCCCGCCCACTGCTCCAGAAGCTCCCAGGCTGGGCCCAGGTGTGTCACCTGCTGCCAATGCATGTGCTCATCCGCCCTCAGAGGGCCACCCCAGGACCCAGGCAGGCCAGGAATGGTGACGTCTCTGTGGGGAAATGACTGAGGAGCCTGGCCGGGCCACACCCACTTTGTGTCCTCCCTGGGCTATAAATATAGACCACAAAAGGCAGACAGACAGGGTGACCTTTACCTTCCCAGAGGGAGATAAAAGCTTTTCCACCAAGGCCTGACCTGGGTATCTGGCCTCTGGTTCTCACTGGGCCACCAGCTTCCGCCATGGCCTTGGCCGAGCTTAGGCTGGAGGAGGTGATGGCAGGGCCTTGAGAGCAGTTCCTGTTCTGAGCCACTATGCACCTGGCAGACCTCCCAAGAGCCACCCTCTGGGGCCTTGCGAGTCACCTATCAGATGCCGTCGGTGGGGGGAGTACGGTGGGCAGTGACGATGGCCGGAAGCCCTGTGGCGCCACCCTTCTGTGTGAGCCTGGCCGGGTGCGGGCAGAGGCCCAGAGATGCGGGCAGAGGCCCAGAGATGCAGACAGGGCCTCACCTCGCAGCTGGTCTTCTCCTGAGGATGTGTGGGGGCAGGTGGGGGAGCTTTTAGGAGTCAAGACCTCGCTGGCTGACTTGTGTCAGGGGGACCATGGTGGGAAGTGGGAAGGAAAAGGGACCCCAGGTTTGGCTTGAGCACACCTTTCCCTTCCATGGGAGGTAGCTGCCCCGGGAGGCTGTAGCCAGAGAGGACGGAAGGGCCAGTGGGGCCTGTGCATGCAGACACGCCCTGGCTGGAGGGGACAGCTCTGGTCAGCTCCCGCCTAGCCTCCTGTTGCTCGTGGGGACACAGACCTCTTGCTGGCCAGGTCGTCCAGATTACAGGAGAAGCCAGAAATGTGGATTTTTATGTGAAATCACCTGACCTTTCAGTGTTGGCTCAAAAATCGAAAAACACTTTGCAAGCCAAACAAAACACGTGTGTGGGCTGATTTGGCCGGGTTCTCGTCCCGGCTGTCGGTTCGCAGCCTGTCTTTGAAGCATCCTGTGCGAGGAGCTTCCCACCTGTGGGGCGGTCTGTGCAGCATCGCGGTGTCCTCGGGGGCTTCTCGTAACCCGCAGGGGAGGCTGGGAACCTGGGACAGCCGGGGTCAGGGTGCACTGTGAGGGGGTGAGGCAGGAAGGAGTGCCGCCGGTATGTGACCCCAGGCGTCCCCCCTGCCTTGCGCTCTGTTCCTCCCAGCACCCTCTCGAGCCAGGTGCTTTTCCTGAGCTGTCCTGTCAGCTAGACCCCTTGGTACAGCAGAATGCTGTTCCTTGGAGGGCAGGTGACCTGCTGGGGGGACGGGTTTCAAACCCAGCCTTTCTATGCCTGAGCCTGTCTCGGCCACCCTGCCACCTGGGGGACTAGGGGCGTGCACATATGTGCACATGCACACGCAGCTGAGCTGTGAGCAGGCCCCCAGAGGGCAGCCCCAACGCCAGGGCATGTGTAGTGATGGAGATGCCCACGCCTCACCTCCCCGCCTACCTGACAGCCTGAACCTTCCAAGCCAGAGGCGGTGACGTTGGGTGCACTCACGAGTTACTTGGCCTCCGGGGGCCCTTTCCCAGCTGTAAAATGGGCCTGAGCTGGCTTCCCAGGCCCCTCTCTGGAGAAAATAAAGTGAGCCACTGGCAGGTGCTGGATTCTAGTGGCAAGTTCTGAGAGCTTGGCCCCAGGAGAAGGACTGGGAGGAGACGCTTCTAGCCAGAGGGCAGTGCCTGGTGTCCAGGTCACCCCTCTGATGCTTCGAGGGTATCCTTCTAAACGTGCCCCACTCACCTCACCCAGGGGCAGGTCACGGAACCTTCCCACCATGCCTCCTGGGGACCTCCACCTCAAACCCCATCGAACCATGTTGCTTAAAAACAGACAGAGGTGCCCTGGCCAGTTTGGCTCAGCGGTTGAGAGTTGGCCTGCGGACCAGAGAGTCCCGGGTTCGGTTCCTGCTAGGGGCACATACTACAAACAAAACAAAACAAAACAAAACAAAACAAAAACAAAAAAAACCCAGACAGATGTGTGTGGCCATAAACATGTTTTGGAAATGTTAGAAAGGTCAGAGAAGTGAAAGAGAAACGAGCGGTCCTCGGAATAACCTCCCCGACTGCAGAGCAGTCCCAGGACGTGTGTGATGTCAGTGAGCGTATTTGTGTCCTGGCTTCCCACGGCACCGTTCTGAGAAGCGCTTACAGCATCACAGGTTGTCGCGGGCCCAGCCGGTCAGCGCAGGTCACCTGAGTCGATCGTGTTGGACAGAGGTGTAACCGAGGTTTCTGTAAACGTGCTCGTGCTCACGTAGACATCCGTGTCCACACCTCAGACTGCCACCTGGGGGGTGAATTCCTGAGTGGGATTGCCAAGCCAAAGGGTGCTCAGGTGGGAGCTTACTGGGGCCCAGTGGTATGGGACTGGCTCTAGGGAGGTTGGGGGCATTGGCAGGGTTGCTAAGGGTTGAGGGTTGAGGCCCAGCATTGGGTTAGGTGTGTGTGTGTGGCGGGGGAGGAGGGCGTCCATTCATTCATCCATCTACACTCTCTTGACCCTGATGGTAACCGCCAGGATCCCTCTTCCCATCCCACTGGTTTCTAGAAAGAGTAGAGGCTCCCTAGCCCTGCTTCCTCCCCAGCCCTCAGCAGCTTCACTTCCTCCCTCACTGTGCTGACCAGGTGGCCTCCGCTGACCAGGCCAGGGGCAGCTGCTCCAGCTGGTATTTGTCCTTCTTGGTCTCTTACTCCTCTTTTTTTCCTTCAATGCGTTCTTAATTGCTTTCAGAGAGGGGAAGGAAGAGGGAGAGAGAGCTAGAAAAGTCCGTGAGAGAGAAACATCAGTCGGCTGCCTTCTGCATGCCCCTTCCCACGGGGATCAAGCCTGCAACCCCACAGGTGCCCTGACCGGGAGTTGAATCAGTGACCTCCTGGTGCACTGGATGATGCTCAACCAACTGGGCCACATGGGCTGGGGATCTGTCACTCTTGAGTGTCTGTATCCCTCAGCCCCAGTGATGCCTGGTCTTCGGTCCCCCCTTACCTTCCTGACTGCTCCCCCTCAGGTGGCTGTAAGGCAGAAAGGACACTCAGGCCTTCCAGATGCACCAAAAACAACTCAGGAGCTCAGGAGCACACAGCAAGGGGCCAGCTGAGCGCCCTACATCAGCAACCCAATGGGATCCTCTCCGATGCAGGAACGGGCTCAGAGAGGTTAAGCAACTTGTCCAAGGCCACCGAGCTAGGGAGAGGCTTCACTGGAATTCGTGGGGGGTGGATCTGACTCCAGGGCCGCTGGACCACAGGTCAGCACGGGCACAACACACTGCACGAGCGCACGAACCCGCACGGTGCCTAACCGCGGTGCCCACAGCCCCGCCACGCACGGCGCCCGCTCGCCGAAGGGCACGCGCAGCTGGGGGGGCGGCGCCCGTGCGCACGTACGGCCCTCCGCATCTCCGGCCCCGCCCCTCCACGCCGCAGGCCCCGCCCCCGGATCCGGCCCCGCCCCCGGCCTGACCTCAGCGGGGCCGCGCAGCGGGCGCAGAGCGCAGGCAGCGCCGAGCCGCGCGGGCCTCCGCCCCCCGCGCCGCCCCGGGTCCCGCGGCCCGGCCGGCCGCCCGCGCCGCTGCGAGCCGTCCATGGTGCAGCGCATGTGGGCCGGGGCGGCCGGGCCTGCGGGCGCCGCCGAGCCGCTGTTCCCGGGCTCCCGGCGGAGCCGCAGCGTGTGGGACGCCGTGCGCCTGGAGGTGGGCGGCCCCGACAGCTGCCCGGTGGTGCTGCACAGCTTCACGCAGCTCGACCCCGACCTGCCGCGGCTGGAGGTGGGTGAGCCAGGCCGGCCGACTCGTGGCCCCGCGAGGGGGGGGGGGCGAGCGTCCAGATGGCGCGGAAGGAGGGTCCTTTTGCAGAAGTCCCCTCCTTGCTCCAACCTCAGGGCAGCAAGGTGGGCATGGGGGCCGCCAGCGCAGCCGGTCCCGCAGTGGGTCTGCCGGCCCCGCTCTGTCCACCCCAGTGCCTGCCCTCGCTGAGCCCAGGTGCGCCGGCCGCGGGCCCCTGCAGCCCAGGGAGATCGGTTTCCGCGGGCTGTCACTGTTTGCGGGCGTCCCCACGGCAGGGGCTGGGCCCGGTGCACAGGCAGTCCGCTTCCAAATACAGGTGACGGACGTGGTTAGAGCGCCCAACTCCTGGAATCGGCAGAGGTGGCTGGGACTACAGTGGCCTTCCAGACAGCCCCCTTTGGGGTGGGAGGTAGAGCTGAGGTTCAGGCCGCTCAGCATAGAGGGGTGGAGGGGAAGCAGGCTCCAATCTGTGGAGCCAGGTGTTCAGGCAGGAGATTGGGACAAGGCCCTCATGCCTGGAGGAGTGACTGACTCATTGCTGCTTAATTAGAAAAGGCCCCACCGGCCCTGGCCGGGTAGTTCAGTTGATTAGAGCGTCATATGGATACTCCAAGGTTGCGGGTTGATCTCCTGTCTGGGCACATACAAGAATCAACCAATGAATGCATAAATAAGTGGGCAACAAATCGATGTTTCCCTCCTTCCCTTCCTCATTCTCTCTAAAAATCAATAAATAAACATTTTTTAAAAAAGAAAAAAATTGCCCCAACACCTTAGATTTGGGAGAATTCAGAGAACGGGGTATGTGCCTGTCACCAGTGGGCGTTGGGGTAGCCAGTTGAGGGCTGGGACTCTTGTTTCTAGTGCGCTCTGTGAAGTTCGTTTCAGTGGGTCATGGGGTCACGTGGGTTGGGGGAGCAATATCTGCCTGACTGCACCTGACCCCTGCAGCAGAGATGGCAGATCCAGGGATGAGCCCCTCACCCTGCTCTGCCTGGGCACGGGGCCTGGACAGAGGCCAGCCCTGAGTTGAGGGGCTGAGCATGTCAAGGCCAAGCCAGAACCTTGACTGAGGTTCCTGAGCCCTGGTTAGGGCCCCCTTGGTGTCCTGCGCCTCCCCTTCATCACTTTCGCCACCCCCGTGCGTTCTCATTGCTGGGTCTTGTGCGTCTGTGTGTGTACCCCGGACCTAGACAGGGCCTAGAAGCACATTTGCCCAAGGATAAAGTGTGACTCCATGCCCAGCGTAGAGGGAGCTCTGGGTGTGTGGGGAGAATAGGGGGACGGACCTTGGGCCAGGAGACCCTTTCCCCCTGGGCTTGGTGTGTTTTCAGGACCCCAGGAGGCCTGACACCAGCCCAGCACTCATCTGACTTTCATCACCTGGCAGCCAGTCGGGCTTTGTGTGCCGGGAGGGTCTGGCCTGCATGCTCACAGGGGCTGGGCAGGTTCCTGGCCAGGGTGGGGCCAGCTGCTTGGCCGCTTCTCTGTCTCCCTCTCGTCCATATGCATCCCCGAGGACCTGAGGGAGAGGCAGATCTGAGCCCTACCCTTGCCCAGGGTCAGCCTTCCTCTGCCCCCCTCCCCCTCCTGCTGCTGCTGTTTGGGCCTCAGCACTTGATCCAGGCCACAACCACTGTTTAGAATCAAAGGGGAAGCTTCTGGCTGGGGCAGGAAAACCAGGGTCCTGGCAGAAGAGGAGGCCACTGCCGGAAACCAAACACAATGACCATTTACCATGGGCCGGTGGAGGGGGCAGGGGAGTCCCTGTCCCTCCTGCCAATGCACACCCCCCCTATCCTGGAGCTGATTTCCTGGTCGCTGTAGTGTGCCAGAGCTGGGGCTGCCCTGCTTGTGGTCCCTGTCCTCTCTGGAAACCACCAGGCAGTTTCTGCCTTCCCTCCCCCGCCCCCCGTTTCCCCACCAAGCCTCCGCCCAGTCCTTCCCTCTCTGGGCTGCCAGATGTCCTTGCACATCTGGGCATCCGCTCACTCGTCATCTTGATTCTAAGCCAAGCCACCACTGACCCAGCTCGGCCTGTGTGGTTCTGTGCTTCTGGAGGTCACCTGGCCCAAGCCCCGTCTCTGGGCAGGCCACGGCCTCAGCCAGGCAGTTCTCAGGTGTGTAGCACCTACTGGGTGCAGACACCACCACCTTGTTCCAGCCGGCTCTGACCAACCCTCCAGAGCAGGCGCCAGCCCCACCCTACAGGGGACTGGAGCTCCGAGAAGTCCCTGGTTTAGACGGATGCACAGCCGAGGACACAGCCAGAGAACATGGGCTGTGTTCTCTTGGGTACCCACTGTGTGCAGGAGACCAGAGGGGTCAGAGAAGAATTGCTGTTGAGGAAACTTTAAGTCCCCGAGGAGGACATTGGAGATGTGGGGGGAACGGAACCAGCTCAGACAGCCCAGCAGCCCCTGGTCGAGTGAGGGGTAGGGACATTTATAGACGAAAAGGCCAAGTGCTTTGGGCCAGAGCACACTGCGGGGAGCTTCCAGGAAGAGGCAAGCCCACAGCTGGACCCCCGAAGGCTTAAAATAATAGCTCATATGCGCCAGAACGTGTGGGAGGCCTGTGTAGAATAATTACGTGCATTGCAGCCTTCTGAGTTCAGGACTGTCAGTGTCCATTTCACAGATGAAACAGTGCACAGCGTCTGCGAGGAAGCAGGGGGCAGGGGCAGGATCCTGCCCCAGGCAGTGTGCCTGCAAGGCCTGAGTGCAGGCTCACAGTGAGGGGGCTTCTCCGTTACTGGGGTAGAGATACACGGCAGGGTCTCCTTCCAGCCCCCCTGCCTCCTTCAGGGTCGTCTGGTCTCCTGACCACACTGCATGCAGGTCTTCAGTTTAACCCCCAGGGCCTTTGGCCCTGGAGGCCCCAGAGGCATGTCTTCAGATGTGGCTGGCTGGCTGCCATCTGCAGGGCCCCCACAAACCCTCCCGTTCCCCTCTTGGGGCTGCAGGAGAAGGTGGGGACCTGGCTGGCTGGCTCTGGCTGGGAGACGCTGGAGCTCCCTGGGCTGTTTCCCTGGAGGCTCGGGGAAGGCCCTGGAGCAGGAGCAGGTGGCGGGGAGGTCAGCTCTGGGAGACACTAGCCCTCTCGGGCGCAGGGCCGGAGTCCCATCCTTCGCCTGAAGTTGGACGGATCCAGGCCCTGTAATTGGAATCGACTTAGCGCTGGCCCTCAGTAGCCCCCGAGGGAGCCAGTGGGGTGGTTTCCGGGGCTGCTGGCTGGCGGCCCAGATGGCTCCCATGGCCTGGCACCGTGCTGTGGCCACGCCGTCCCAGGCTTGGGCCTCCAGCTCGCTGGCCCAGAAATGCCGTGTTCCCAGACACACAGCTCTAGTGAAGCGACTTCCCGATCCAGTTCTGATGACCTGTGAGTTGACACCTGCAGCCTAGAGCAGGAGGCCAGCCCGTGGCCGGGGAGCAAGTGGCCCGCAGCCAGAGGTCGTGGGTGAGCAGGGCGGGAGCACCCAGCACAGGTGGGGAACCTGGGCATTTCCCCCTCCTCTCCCGGGAAGTATTGGCGCTTGAGCAGCCTGCCCAGCAGAACCGCCTGGGGACACGGTGTTGTGAATGGGGGGGCGGAGGTGACCGCGCTGGGACGCCGGCTCGGCCCCTGCAGCCCTGGACCTGCTCCTCCCCGAGCCTCGGTTTCCTCTTCTGTAGAATGGAACTGGTGCCAGTTCCCCCACTTAGGGTTCCGGCGAGGACCGAGCGAGACGGTGCCTGGCACAGCGTCGCAGCCGACAGGTGCCGGCTGCCCCGGCTGTTTCCTGACCAGGTGTCCGGGAGTGCCCGTGCTTCCCAGGGCTGGCTCTTGTAGCTGACCTTGGGGCGTGGGCGCCCTGGATGTCCCCTCCTGTGGAGAGGTGTGGGTACAAGGGAGCTGGGCCTGGCCACCCCGACTGGCTCTGTGACCTGAGCAAGTCCTCCCCATCACCGGTATCTCTTCTGCATCCGCGTGACCAGGGACTGGACGCTGCTCTGTGGCTGTGACCATGGCAGCCACCAGTAGAGCGAGGCCTGGGTGTGTCTCCATAGGACGTAGGAGTCACGGGCCAGGGTTCAAGGCCCTGCCCAAACTGCCACTTCTCGGCTCCTGACCTGAGCAGGTTCTCCACCCAGCTCCTTCCTCATCCATCAGGTGAGGTGTCGGGAGGATTAAATGTGGGGAGTGTACCGAGGGCCTGGCACCCAGGCCGTCACGTTGCTGGACACTGGTCCGTGGTATTGCTGTTGGCACTGGACCTTCACCAGGCCACCTTCCTCCTCAGCCGTCACCAGCTGTCCCCTCGCAGGCCTGGCCCCTGGTGGCCCTCTGGCCTGACAGTCAGGAGTGGTCCTGGATGGACAGGAGGGAGGAGGGTAGTAGGCAGGGCCAGCCTGGAGGTCGGGTCTCCCCTCTCCACTTGAGCACATTTAAATAGTAAAGCTCAGGCTGGTGGGCAGGGCAGGGGGGGCGGCTTGTTCTTGGGGATATGGGTCAACCTCTTTGGGGGCTCGGCACAGCCTCCAAACAGTTTCTGGAATCACTGAGCTTCCTGGTTGCCCTGGAAACCAGATGCCTTGAGGGGTCTCCGGCCAAGGCTGCCTCTGTGGGTGTAGGGCCTGGGGACCAGGATTGTGGCCCACCCTTATCCAGGGCTGACCTTGAGTGCCCTCCAGGGCCATCTGTGCCCCTGGGCTCAGTGCAGGACACCAGCTCCCGCAGGCCAGCAGGTCACGCGGGTTCGGCGTTTTCATCCTTCCTGCCCTGGGCTATGGTCTCAGAGATGAACCAGGGCTTGGGCTTGAAAAATGTTGGTTGTCCCCTCAACCTGGACACTGTCTACTTGGTCATCCCCTAGGCCTCAGTCTCCCGTTCTGTATAATGGGTGCCTGGGATTCCTAAGGGTTGAGCAACCCTCTTGATCTGTTACACGTGAGCTCCTGCATTTGACAGAAGGTGATGATCTCAGAAAGCAGCAGGGCTGGCTTCCATCTGTAGACTTTTAGGGTGACAGGGTCCCCGTCCAGGTTCCCAGAGCCTCTGGCAGGTCTCCTGGAGGTTTGTCATCCTCAGCTCGGGGGGCTGTGGGCGTGTCGGGTCCCACTTCCTGGACGCTTTCGTGTGCCAGGCGCCGGTCTGGGCTGCGTGCATTCTCATGACCGCCACCGTCCCCCTGTGAGAGAGGCGCTTCCCATGTCACAGATGAGCGCACCGAGGCGAAGGCTGGGGGCTCGGCAGGGCTGGGAGTCGAGCCCTCCGTGAGAAACCATCCTGGGGGGTCTGGTGGGCCTCGTGTGCCTAGGGCTGCAGGGGCTGGTGGGTGGCCAGTCAGGACCTCTGTGACCGGGTGGACCCACGCAGCAGCTGAGTGGTGGTCTAATGCACACGGCGCCCTGTGGTTGCCGCCACCTGCCCTGCCCGAGGGACCCGAGTCTCCCATAGCTGCTGGGGAGACCGCGTGCAAGCTGGAGGCTCCTTCGGCCGCAGCTCTAGGCCAGGTCTCCTTAGGGGGAGCCAGCCTGCAGCCAGGGCATCTGGGGCCCCCGTTGTTGCTTCCATGGGAAATGTACATCTGAGTGGGGGCAGAGGGCTGATGAGAATGGGGGGTGCAGTCACGACCGCCTGCTGGGGGAGATGGCAGGGCTGGGGAATGGCCCAAATAAGGGGTGGGACCCCTGGTGAGCCCCTCATTTTACCTTGAGGGCATTTGGGCTTGGCCTGCAGTCATTTGGGGACACAGCATCCTGCTGGCCCACCACCCCAAGAGGGCGCATCCGGTGACACATTAACAGGTGCCACCCAGGCCATTTCTCCTCCTCGTCCCTGGGGCTCTGGGCTGTACTCTGAGGTACAGCAGGGTGTGGGGTACCCCGGGTGCCCATTCTGCTGGCCTCTGCTCACCAAGGCCTGGGGGCACCCCGCCACCTTCACGCCACTGGCCCCAGGTGGTGGAAGGCAGGCAGCATCCGTGAGACACAGGGCCCTGGGGACATCAGCGGTGCCTGCAGTGGCTGGGACAGGAGGCTCGGTCCCCTGAGGACTTAGCCTCCATGTGACATTCCTGACTCCTAACAGCTCAGTGCTGCCCTGTGGACGTACGTCTGCCCTCGAGTCGGTTTGTTCAGCTGGCTCCCTCCTCCCCCAGGGGCTCCCAGGCTGCCAGAGTGTCCTCGGGGGCCTTCCGCCCCTGTGGCTGCTGCTGGGTCCGGGCAGCCGCTCCGCTAGCAGGGTGGCCCAGGGTCGTTGTGAGTACCCGGGCCCTGCCCTTCCTGCCCCGGAGGGTCCTGGGCCGGATGCCAGAGCTATTGGCTGCTGTCCTTCTCTGTCCCTGGCAAGGGGGTGAGAACAGGGGACAGATGCCCGACTCTGCCACTCCCTGCCCGGGCCGGGGAGCTCGCTGTAGAGCCTGCCCCGCTGTGGCCCCTGGTGGCCGGTTTACGTGGTGCTCAGAAATGCTGCGACGGTCTGGGTCTGCTTCCTGGGGTCCAGGGAGGACAGGTCAGCTGTGCTCCATCCGTGCGGCAGGGCAGTGGCTCCCCCAGCCCAGCCCGTGTGGCTCAGCATCCCGCCCTGCCCCCCAACCCCAACCGGCTGGCAGAGGGGGCCCCTCCAGGGTGGGGGAAGGGCTCAGGGATCACATGACACCCAGGCAGGGCCAGCCAGCTGCTCACAGCCAGCGAGGCCCATGGCTCACTGCAGAGCCGCTATTTAGACTTGAGGCCCTGGCCCCACCCGTGGGTTAGCCCGGCCAGGGGGCCTCTGTCCAGCAGGCCTGGATGGAGGCCTGTGGGAGCCAGGTGCTCTGTGGGCTCCCGGGGGTTTGAGTCCAGCGCCCTCTGGACGGCAGGTCCTGCGCCGAGCCCCCGATCTGCTGCCAAGAACTCAGGCGCTCGGGTGCTGTTTGGCTCCCAGCTGGGCCACATGTGGCTGAGATCCCCAGGACAGTGACAGGGCTTTGTGGGGGGCAGTCTCTGGGGCCTGTGAGGAGATGTGGGGGTGGCCAGGGCCCTGGTTGGGGTGGCGGGCGGCAGGACTAACAGGCCACTGAAGCCCCTTGTCCGCCCCCCCCCCCCCCAGGGCTCTTCCAGGCAGGGAGGGGGCATGAGGCCGGACGACAGTCGCATCTGTTTCTGTTTTTCGGCTTCAAGAGGAGGAATTTCCCTTCCTCTGTGGCAGGGCTGGACCTCCCCAGGCGTGGGCTGTGTAGGGTGTGTGGGTGTGGGAGATGCTGCTGGGTGGGGGGCCTCTTCTCTGGGCTCCCCGCTAACTTCCAAGAAAAGGCTGGTCTCTCCGGGGAGGAGGAGGCAGCGGAGGGTCAGGAGCGGAGGGTCGGGAGCCTGATGCGGCGGCAGTGGCTCTCCCGCTGGAGCGCTGCCCAGACGGGGAGGACGGCCTTGAGCCAGAGGAAGTGGACTTCCGGAGGATGGCTCCTGGGCAGCAGGAGGTGCACGGCCCAGGCCTCCGGTCCCTGACCCCAGGGTGCTGACATCTCAGGTCCCTGCCCAGGGGCCCTGCTTCGGCTGTAGGACACGGCTGTCAGTGGGCCCCGCTGAGTCAGCACTTTTCACTAGGCTCCCCACACCCACCTCGGTTGGGGCAGTGGCCTGTTCGTGGTCCCAGCTGCGGTCATTGACCGTGTGATTGATGGCCACGTGCCCGCTAGCACTTCCCAGCCCCCCCCCCCCCCCCCCGCAGGCTCACCCTCCCCTGGACAGGCCGGCTGAGGAGTGCTGTGAAGCCAGGGAGGCCGTGAGAAGTGGCCTGTCCGGGCCTTGATGACACAGCCCCAGGCCAGCCTGCCCGTGCGACGGGGCCGCTGCCCCCTAAAGCCAGGGCCTGTCCTCTCTACCCGGGGTCCAGGTTGCAGCCAGATGGCCCTCTTCCTGGCCCAGCCAAAGTCCCGTGGCTTTGGGGTCCTGTGGAGCCCAGCCACCAGCCTGCACGTCAGCACTGCCTCCTTCTCACCCTGCCCCCGCGCACGTGATGACACCAGGGACTGGGAACTCCTCTGTTGCCCAAGAAGGCACGAGGCCATGAATGAACAGAAAGGAGGGGAAGTGGCCTTGAGGGCGCCCCAGGCCCGGGATGCTGACTCCAGGGCCCCTGCTGGGTCAGCAGGAGGTCAGGACAGAGGAGGGAGGGGGAGGGCGTCCGCGCTGCCCCGGGTACCCCACAGTCAGGGCTGTGGGGTCCCAATCTGCCATTTCCCTGCAGCAGCATGACTCTGGGCAGGTTGCTCTTCTCTCAGCCCCCATGTGCTCGTCTGTGAAGTGGCCAAGTAACAGTACTTGTCTTGGGGGCACCCTGGGCAGGGGCAGGTTGTTGGGGGATTGGGAGACGGGCTTGGTTCACACCCAGCTCACGGCTGGCAGGATGGAAGGGATGGCCCCGGCGGGCGGCACCCACCTGCCCTGATAGTAACCCCATCTTCTGTTTCATTCTGGACCGGAGGCCCGTGTGGCCGCTGATCTAGACCCAGTCTGGGGAGCAGAGGCCGCAGGGGCGCCCCTGCAGCGTGGGCCGGCAGGCTCTGACCCCCGCCCGCCGCCGGGCGCTGTCTTTGCAGAGCTCCACGCAGGAGATCGGCGAGGAGCTGGTCAACGGGGTCGTCTACTCCATCTCCCTGCGCAAGGTGCAGGTGCGCCACGGCACCAACAAGGGCCAGCGCTGGCTCGGGGTGAGTGTGGGCAGAGGGGCCGCCGCCCTGAGAAGGCCGGGCTTCCAGATGGCACTCCAGACTGCACCTGGCTTCCGCCCAGGGCTGCCCTACCTGTGGGCCCCCCCGCAGTCCCGCTCCCAAGGGGATCGGCCCCATCCCCCGCCGCCGCCGGCCAGCCCGGGGCTTGGCCAAGCACAGAGTCACTGTGTGCACGTCTGTGTGAACATCAGACATGACATCCTACACTGTTTCCACTTCATGCTAGTTTGGGAGTGTTTGTGTGTCTGGCCCCAGTGTTTCCTGTTTTGGCTGCTGACCCCCGCTGTCCCTCGGCACTGTCTGCCTGACTGTCCCACACCTCCTCCGAGCCTCGAGCCTCTTAGTAGGAAGGGCTGTGCTCACTCCCAGAGGCAGGCTCAGGCTGCTGTGTGTTCCCTGCGGCTCGCTCTCCCAGAGCCCGCCCCGGGGCCCCTCCAGGCCAGAGCCGCCGTTCCAGAGGGGCCAGCTGGCTCAGTGGTTTGGGCCCGGCCTCTTTCTGTGACGGTTCCCTACACTCCCTGAGCGTCCTGCGCGCCCTCCCGCGCGGCTCACGCCCGCCCCCACGAGCCTGTGCTCTGTCCCCAGAATGGCCTGTTGTGCCAGGCACCTGGGCACAGCTCTCTTCCTGGGGAGGCGCTGTTACTCCTCAGCTCACAGGCTGCAGGCGGCGGCCCTTCTCAGCACCCCCCACCCAACTTCTACTTTTTATTTATTTCGTTTTTTATTTATTTATTTTTTTGTGACTCGAATTCTGCTGTTAACCCCGAGAACCTTTTTCTGCTGGGGACATTCAGGTCCCATCTCCTGCTCCATGTCCCTGAGCCCTTGGGGGATCGTCTGAGCTCCAGCCCTCCGCTCCTTGGACAGTTCCTGCTGCAGCCACTGACCATCAGCCCTCCCTTCTCCCACCCCAGTGTGAAAACGAGTCGGCCCTGAACCTGTACGAAACCTGCAAGGTGCGGACGGTGAAGGCAGGCACGCTGGAGAAGCTGGTGGAGCACCTGGTGCCAGCCTTCCAGGGCAGCGACCTCTCCTACGTCACCATCTTCCTGTGCACCTACCGGACCTTCACCACCACCCAGCAGGTCCTGGACCTGCTGTTCAAGAGGTGAGCCCCCCGCGGACGGCGGCTCCCCCCACTGCCGAGTGTCCGGGGAATGCCGCGTCACCTCTCTGGGCCTCAGTCTGCCCACGTGAAAACCGTGCCAAGAGCGCAGCCCCCCGGGTCCTCAGGACAGGGGGGGCTGCCCGGGCTGTGCTGGTTTTTCTCTTTTGTTTCCTCCTTTATTGACTAGAGAGGAAGGGAGAGGGAGAGAGAGATGGAAACATCGCTGAGAGAGAACATCGATGGGCTGCCTCCTGCACGCCCCCCACTGGGGATCCAGCCCACCACCTGGGCACGTGCCCTGACCGGGAATTGAACCGGCGACCTCTTGGTACAGGGTCGATGCTCAACCACGGCGCCACCCCGGCCGGGCACTGGGCTGGTTTTTCTCTCTCCCGCCCCGAATAGCTCTCTGCCTCAAGCCTCGCCGTCCTGTGCCCTGGGGTGAAACGTCTTCCCATTTGAATAGAGGTCCCAGATTCTATCTGGGGGTCCCCTCCATGAGGAGCCAGTGCAGGGGCCCCTGGGGGCGGGCTGAGGGGCCCCAGACCCTCTCAGATGTCTGTAAGGTGCCGGCTGGGGCTCATTCATTCCACAAACGTATGTGAAACCATCCTGTGTGCGGGCACTTTCCTGGGCACAGAACACAACTCAGTGCAAAAGGCAGACAAGTTCCTGCCCTGCAGGTCCCCATCCCAGTGGGGGGCGGGTAGCTAGTACCGCCAGACATAACAGCAGGTACAGTCGATGTGACGCCCTCATGGCCTCCTCTAGATACGGATGCACCCTCCCCTATTCCCACGAGGACGGCGGACCCCAGGACCCCCTGAGAAAGTGAGTGGACTCTCGTCTGCTGGGCGGGCCTCCTGTCTCCGTGGTGGGGACACTTGGGGGCCGAGGCTGCGGGGCTGGTCAGACCCTGGCTCCCACACATCTTGTGATTCCCGCTGTTCTGAGGTCTGGGGGCTTCTCCTGTAGAGGAAAAGAGTCAGAGCTGTGGTGGGGGCCCGGGTCTCTAGGGAAGAGGGAGGCTGGGGACTCAGAACCAGCCCCAGAGAGAACCCGTCCCCACCACAGCCCCCCCACAGCTCTGCTTACCCCTGTCCCTATCCAGGTAGCCAGGACAGGAGGTGGGGGAGCACCCTGGTCACACACCGGCCCCACCTCGGTCCTCCAGCCCAGCTGCACTCAGGCTGGGGCAGGCTGTGCCCAGTTCCCCAGAATAGTGTCAGAGGGACGAGGCCCACCCGTGTCACAGAGAACAGGGCAGCACGTGGGCACGCGCTGAGGCTGAGGTGCCGCGAAGGCTGGCAGGACACACTTGGCCGGTCCCCCTCCCAGTCATGTTTAGGCAGCACCTACTGAGTGCCAGTCTGTGCCATGAACAGAGCAGGCCAGCCCCTCCCTGGCCTCGTGGGGCATACGGTCCAGTGGGAGGGGCCGGGGACAGACAGGGGTGTGTCAGGCTTCCCTGCGGCAGGAGAGGTGGTCACACCGTTGATGGAGGGCACCCTCCCCGGAGACTGCCAGCCCCTGCCTGGGCACCAGGCCCTGAGTCCAGCCCCCACAAAGGTGCCACAGGAGGGCCACATGGGAGAAGAGGCCAGGTCTCTGATTCTGTAGTCCCCCCTCCACCCACCCCAGTGCCATCTCCTCCATCCTGGGCACCTGGCTGGACCAGTATTCGGAGGACTTCTGCCAGCCCCCGGACTTCCCCTGCCTCAAGCAGCTGGTGGCCTACGTGCAGCTCAACATGCCTGGCTCCGACCTGGAGCGCCGTGCCCACCTCCTCCTGGCTCAGCTGGAGCACACAGAGCTTCCTGAGGCAGAGCTGGAAGGTGAGGAGAACGTGGGGTGGGCACGTGGGGCGGGGTCGGTGCTAGACACAGAGAGGAGCCTCCAGAGGCTGGTGTGGGCCAGGGGCAGAGATTGGCCTCAGACCACCTATCTGGTGGACTGCAGAGGGGGAAGACGTCCTGGGCTGATGCTTCTCTAGAAGGCAGTGGCGTGATTTTTGTCTTGGAAAAGCAGGTGTGTTGCTGAACTTTCCTCCTCTTATAGCTCCATCACCAGCTCCAGTATCAGCTCTAAAACCAGCTCCAGAGCTAGAGTTGGCTCTGACACCGGCTCCAGCACCCCTTCCTGTGCCGGCTCCAGAGCTAAAGCCGGCTCCATCACCGGCTCCAGAGTCAGCTCCAGAGCTAGAGCTGGCTCCAACACCGGCTCAAGCGCCCAGTCCCCTGCCAGCGCCAGCGCCAGCTCTAGCACCTGGTCTCGTGCCAGCTCCAGTGCCCAGTTTTGTGCCGGCTCTAGAGGAAGAGCTAGCTCCAACACCAGCTCTAGCACCCAGTCTCGTGCTGGCTTCAGAGCAAGAGCTGGTGCTGGCTCAGGAACTTGAGCCAGAGCTTGAACCAGCTCCAGAGCGAGAGCCAGCAGCAGCACTGACTCCCACACCGACTCCAGAGCTGGAGGCAGCTCTTTTGCAAACTCTGGAGCTCGAGCCAGCCCCAGCACCAGAGCCCTCCTGGCCTTCGCCTGTGACTGCAGAGAACGGGCTGAGCGAGGGGAGGCCTCACCTCCTGGCGTTTCCACCCGACCTCGTGGCAGAGCAGTTCACCCTGATGGACGCGGTGAGCAACTCTTCCCAGCGGGCAGGCAGGGAGGGCGCCCCTTCCTCCGGCATCTGCTGCCCACGTGTGCTGCTGATGTCTTGGCCCAAATCTCAGGCCCAGCATTGCAAACCGTGTAACATTCTCAAACTTCCTAACCCCAAGGCCTTGATTTCCCTGCTGACTGTGGATCTGGGGCCCCCCCACCCCCACCCCTCTGCATAGTGACTGAGGAAATTAGGTGAAACAGCAGAATGCTGGGGGACCCGGCTGTGTGGGGGAAGGGAAGCTCACCCTGTCTGCCCAGGAGGCCCCTCTAGCCTCAGCACTTAATAGGCACCGGCTGTGCACCTGACTACACTGCTGACACCAGGCCATGCCTCTAGTTGCCGCCCCGTGGGTGAGCATCTGGACAGGAACGGACAGGGGCGCTGGGGCTCCAGGTGCCACCTGGTATGTGCAGGTGGGAGCCACCTTCTGGTGCTCGGAGTTAGTGAGGACGGGCTAATGAAGATGCCTATCTTCCTGCCAACCTTCCATCCCGGGTCTCTCGTGTGCTGGTGCCCACGGGGCTGGGGACAGAACCCAGAGGCCCCCACAAGGCTCAGTCCACATCCTTGGTCTCCAGGGCTCCAGCACTGACCAGGGACCCTCCCTGGGACTGGGGGTGGGGGCTGCGCCTGCTGAGCCGGGGTGTGGCAGCGCCGAGTGACACTGCCCTGCTCCCCAGGAGCTGTTCAAGAAGGTGGTGCCCTACCACTGCCTGGGCTCCATCTGGTCCCAGCGGGACAAGAAGGGCAAGGAGCACCTGGCTCCCACGGTCCGTGCTACCGTCACCCAGTTCAACAGTGTGGCCAACTGCGTTATCACCACCTGCCTCGGGGACCGGAGTGTGACGGCCCGGGCCAGGGCCAGGGTGGTGGAGCACTGGATCGAGGTGGCCAGGGTATGCCTTGGAGGGACCCGGGGATCCCTCTGCCCTCTCTCGGGGCTGTGGTCTGGGGTAGGAGACCCTGCAGAGACCCCAGGCCCTTCTGCTTCTGGGGCTCGATGACCTTGACTCTCCCCCCCCCCGCCTGGGCACTCACAGCCTCCTCAGGTTTCTCCCTGGTTGAGCTCAGGTCCTCCTGCCCTCGAAGTGTTCCTCAGGGCCCAGGTCCGCTCGGGGCTCCCAGGCATCTGTCTCACCCGGGGGAGGGGGTCCCGCAGGGAGCTGTGGGAACGCATGCCCACGGGGCCTTCTCTTCCCGCCCCAGGAGTGCCGGGTCCTGAAGAACTTCTCCTCGCTCTACGCCATCCTCTCCGCCCTGCGCAGCAACTCCATCCACCGCCTGAAGAAGACGTGGGAGGAGGTTTCCAGGTGGGCGGGAGCTCCAGGGTGCGCCAGGGCCTCCCCCAGGGCTGGGCCCCTCCCCCCCGCGAGCCTGCAGCCTGCGGGGCCACGGTGGGTGCGATCTCTACCTGTCCATTGGCCTCGGGACTCGGTTTCCCTGTCTGTCAGGTACTGGATTGAGCCACATGAAGTCAAAACTGGTCAGGACAGGGCCACTCAGAAATGGGGGGGGGGGGTGCAGGTGACCAACGTGAAAGCCCCTCCCCAGCCCCTGGAGCCGCTAGGACCCCGTGCACCCCCACACAGCAGGCTGGGTCTGGGTCTGGCGGTGAAGGGGCCTTGCTCACCCCCCGCCACCCCCAGGGACAGCGTGCGGGCCTTTCAGAAGCTGTCGGAGATCTTCTCGGACGAGAACAACTACTCCCTGAGCAGAGAGCTGCTCATCAAGGTGAGGGCGGGGGTGCTGCGCGGCAGAGCCTTTGAAACTTCCAGGCCTGTCGTCTGGGCCTCGGGGGAAGAGGGGCCTACTGGTCCGTGGGCAGGTGGGGGCAATTTGGGGACAGGAGGCCCAGGGAGGGGGTGGCCTGGGGCGGTAGGCCCTCCTGGAAGGGTGGGTGAGCTGGCAGGGGTGGGTAGGCCCTCCTAGAAGGGTGGGTGAGCTGGGGGTCAGGGCTCCTGCTTCCCTGTCGTCTCCTCCCACCGTCCCTCCAGCAGCCTCCAGGCTGGTGGGGGTGGGGTCGGGGGTGGACGTCCCTTCCCAGCCCAGCCTGCTCCCTGGGCAGGCCCTGCCACCCTCTGTCTGGACTGAACTCACTCCCGGGGGGAGGGCGCCTGCCTGCCCAGGGACCAGGCCCCAAAGGGGCTGCCCGGGTGCGGGTCCAAATGCCTAGACAGAGTTGGCTGCATGTGGGGGGGGGCCTCACTGACCCCATGCTCAACTCCGGCAGGAGGGCACCTCCAAGTTTGCCACCCTGGAGATGAACCCCAAGAGAGCCCAGAAGCGGCCAAAGGAGATGGTGAGGGTGCCCGACGCTCGGGAGAGGCAGGGGCTGGCCCCCCGAGTTCCCCTCCTGCTGCCCTCGTGCCTGACGTGCCCGTTAGACCTGACCTCTGAGCCCTGGCAGGGCCGGGCCCTGTCCAGCTGGTCTCTCGGGGGGACTAGTTAGAGCCACCAGAGCAAGGGCCTGGAAGAACAGAGATCGGGGCATTTGGGGGCAGGGAGGGCCAGAGACCATATCACCATGAGGATTTGCCAAATACCAGGCCTGGAAGGTTACAAGAGGGAGTTTGGGGTTCATGGACACTAGGAGGGGAGTCGGTGCCTGAGGGTCCCCAGGCTGCTTCATGTGGGAGGCTTAGGGTCAGGCTCAGGGCTGAGGTTGAGGGGTTCCCCGGGGGAGCGGCATAGGCCGCACGCCTCACCTCCCACCCGATGTCACAGGGCGTCATCCAGGGCACCATCCCCTACCTGGGCACGTTCCTCACGGACCTGGTGATGCTGGACACTGCGATGAAGGACTACCTGTATGTGAGTGAGCTGGGCGGGGCGGGCGGGGCGGGGCGGGCCTTGAAACCCCAGAGGAGAGGGCCCCTGCCGAGCCCTGAGCTCCCAGCGGCCTCTGCGTCTGGGCACCTGCCCGTCTTACAGTGGGTGAGCAGCTCACCATCTGGCTGGTGGGGCTCGGAGCAGCCGGAGAGTTTGGCCAGGCTGGACGTGGCCCCTCCCTCGAGCAGTGCCCTGGTGAGAGGCCAGACCTCCCTGGTCAGGCACACGGTGGCTGAGCAGGGCCTTCTTGCCTAAGGCCTCAGACTCTTCCCCCAGGGCCCAGCGCCCAGCTCCCAGCTCCCAGGATCCACCCCAGGTCCAAGTTGTGTGCGTGCCCTGCCCCCTGGTGTTTGCTGTCAGTAGTGCAGCCTGGGAGGGGTGCCGGGTAGTCATGGGCAAGGGGACACTTTCTGATGGGCGTTGGCTGTCTGCCTTCCAGGGGAGACTGATCAACTTCGAGAAGAGGAGGAAGGTGAGTAGCTGCAGCCCTCAGTGTTGGGGGGTAGAAGTCAGAGACAGCCCTGGGTGGAATACTCTCGGCCCTGCCCGCTTCCTGTTCCATTGATGGGGAGAGTGGACACAGAATCGGGGGAACGTCTGCCAGTGGAGGGCAGGGCAGGAGGTCAGAGTCAAGGACAGTTCCCTGGGGAGGGGCTGTCTGAATCCAGCTCTGAGAATCGGTCAGGCCTGGGTGGGAGCGGAGGAGGGACCCAAGACCGGGCCCCCGTCCGCCCCGCACCCCACTCCGGCCATCACCGACCTGCCTCCCCTCCGGCCCAGGAATTCGAAGTCATCGCGCAGATCAAGCTGCTCCAGTCGGCTTGTAACAACTACAGCATCGAGCCCGAGGGGCAGTTTGGGGCCTGGTTCCGGGCCATGGAGCGGCTCAGCGAGACCGAGAGGTGAGGCCGGGGCAGGAATCGGGCCAGCTCCGGAGCCCGTATCCGGCGCTCTGGTCAGCTCTGACCTGCCTGGCGAGATGGGAGGGAGACCCGAGTGGGCTGGTCGCTCACAGCTGCCGCTCCGTCCTGCAGCTACAACCTGTCGTGCGAGCTGGAGCCACCCTCCGAGTCGGCTAGCAACACTCTGAAGGCCAAGAAGAACACAGCCATCGTCAAACGCTGGAGCGAGTGAGTGTCCACAGGCAGGCGCTCCCGTGGGGGTACAGGGGGGCCAACAGCTGGCCCTGAGATCCCAGCTGCCCCACTGACCAGCCCTGTGACTGGGGGAGTCGCCTCACGTCTCTGGGCCTGTTTCCTTCTCTGATGTCACCTGGCTGGAGTGGATGGGGTGCTGGTGATGGAGCACTCGGGGGGCACGTGGTGGGATGTGTCCCAGGGGAGGCCTCCCCCAAGTAACCCAGCCTTCCTCCAGCCGCCAGGCCCCCAGCACAGAGCTGAGCACCAGCGGCAGCTCGCACTCCAAGTCCTGTGACCAGCTCAGGTGTAGCCCCTACCTCAGTAGCGGGGACATCGCCGACGCACTCAGCGTCCACTCGGCCGGCTCCTCCAGCTCCGACGCGGAGGAGCTCAACACGAGCTTTGTCCCGGAGTCCCCCGACGGCCAGGAAAAGAAGGTGCCCGGCCTCCTCCCCAGCCCTGTGCAGCCCTGCCTTCTAGGCTCCAGTGTGCCCCCAGCTCCTAAACGAAGCCCCTACCATCCCCAGGGCGGGACCCCAGCCGAGGCGCCTTGCCGCGCTCGGGGCGTCCGCTGACCGTGCCCTCCCCACAGTTCTGGGAGTCGACCTCCCAGTCGTCCCCCGAGACCTCCGGCATCAGCTCGGCCTCCAGCAGCGCCTCCTCCTCCTCGGCCTCCACCACGCCCGTGGCCGGCACCCGCACCCACAAACGCTCCGTCTCGGGGGTCAGCAGCTACAGCGCCTCCCTGCCGCTCTACAACCAGCAGGTGGGCGACTGCTGCATCATCCGCGTCAGCCTGGACGTGGACAACGGCAACATGTACAAGAGCATCCTGGTGAGCGGGCTGGCGGCGTCCCCTCGGCCCCTCTGCCCGCTCCGCCGGCAGCACGTGGGTCAGGAAGGGCGGACAGAAGCCAGGGCTCGTGGCGATCGGATGAGGGCCGTGGACCTAGGTTCCATCGCGGCAGGGAACGTGTCTGGGGAGCCCTGGGCAGTGTCCCCAGGGGGTGTGCCCTGGGGTTGGATGGGGAGAAGCAGGCCGGAGGGGAAGGAGCAAGGGTCAGGGGTAAGAGTTGGGTCAGCGAAGCGTCCAGGGCCTGGATCTGGTCAGAGGGAGACAGGAGTCACTGGAGGTCGGAGCAGAGGCGGGCAGCAGTGACCTGCGACGTGTCTCCCGGGGGACGGCCGGTGCTGGGCTGTGGAGGCGGCCAGCGGTGTCAGCCCCTGCGAGCCAGTGGGGTTGATTGGTGGGGTTCCCCACCATACCCACAAGCGGGTCAGGTGCCCGGACACAGTCCCCTGTGTGACCCTGTGCCGACCACGCCTGCAGCCTCACCCACGCGGCCCAGGCTGTCGGCGGCCCTGGGTGTACCGTGGCTCTCGCCTCCAGGGCTGTTTATCCCCGGACTCGCTGACTGTTGCTGGAGGGGCATCTGGTTTCCCCAGATAGTGTGGGAGGAGGTGGCTGGTTTGAGGGAGATGGGGAGTGGGAACAATTGGGAAAGACCCCTCATCATTGTGAGGAGGCCTCCCCGGGGGACAGAAGCGGGAGAGACCCCCACAGACCCAGCAGCAGGCCAGAGGCTGTGAAGCCCTGTGCGCCGTGCCGAGGTGGCTCCCGGGGTCCGTGGCCACTGCACCCCGGGGACCACTCCAGCTCCCTTGTCCTGATGGTCCGTCTCCCGGCCTGAACCAGGTGACCAGCCAGGACAAGGCTCCCGCTGTCATCCGCAAGGCCATGGACAAGCACCACCTGGACGGGGCGGAGCCAGAGCACTACGAGCTGGTCCAGGTCATTTCAGACGAGCGAAGTAAGCGGGGCCGCGGGGCCACTGTGGGAGCACCCCAGGCTGCGGGCTTCGGCACCCCTGCCCCGGACGGGCCTGCACCCCGTGTCCTCTCTGCCCCAGGCTGCGGGCTTCGGCACCCCTGCCCCGGACGGGCCTGCACCCCGTGTCCTCTCTGCCCCAGGCTGCGGGCTTCGGCACCCCTGCCCCGGGCGGGCCTGGCACCCGGTGTCCTCTCTGCCCCGGGCTGCGGGCTTCGGCACCCCTGCCCCGGGCGGGCCTGGCACCCAGTGTCCTCTCTGCCCCAGGCTGCGGGGCCTGGCTCGTGAACCCAGTTCCAAGCTGGAGTGAAGAGAAAAGGCTTTTCCCCTGGGACCCCGCAGCCGGGTGGCCGAGCCCACAGGCCATTCAGAGGCGCGCTGTCCGGCCGGGGTGGGCAGTGTGGCGGCCGGGGACTGAAGCGTGAAGTGTGTTAAAGTCCATGCGCGTGTGACACCGTCTTGGTTCGTTCCGGATGCTGTGACACCACCACAGACCGGGTGGCTTCCTAGCAGTGGGCATTTTTTCTCGCAGTCTGGAGGCGGGGGTGCCAGGTGGGGGTGCCAGACCGGCCCGGAGTCGCGTGCCGACTTCTGGCTGTGTCCGCACGTAGGGCAGGGGCGTGGGGTCTCTTACAGGGGCGCTGGTCCCACTCACAGGGGCTCCACCCGCATGAACTCACTTCCCGAAGCCCCGCCTCCTGATCCCATTGCCTGGGGAGTTAGGGTTCCAACAGGAATTTGGGGGGGAGAGAGAGGTTCAGCCCAAAGCAGAGGCTTTGAGAGCAGCTCAGTGCTCTCAGCCCCGGGGAAGGGAAGAGTCTCGTTAGCAGACTCGGAGCCAGCCGGCCGGGGCCGGACCTCGGCGGGTCCTCGAGCCCTCTGTCCTCCCCCGCGATGGACGGGAGCAGCCGGTGCGTTTACATACACCGGGCTGGGCGGAGGTGGGGCCACCACTGTGCGTCCAGGAAACACAGCTATTCTTTCATCATTTGTACATTCATTATAAATTAGTTTCATTTTTCGTACAAACAGCTGTAAACCGACTTGGGCCCACGCCCGCCGGTGCTCACGGTGCGTCCGTGTGCCGCAAAGGTTAACTGCCATCCCCCCGGCTCCCACCCCCGAGCTGGTCGCTCGCTCCCCGCCACGAGCCCAGACAGGCAGCGATGCCCCGGGTCCCTAGAAGTTGGTCTCTAAGTCCCCTCTCACCTTGCACCATCTTAGGGAGGTGGGCAGGACAGGGGGACCCATCTCACAGAAAAGGCACATAGAAGCTGACACTGGTTAGGGACCTAGAGAGAGGCACCCGATGGCGCGGGCACATGGGACACGGGCCATGCGGAGGCCTGCCTTTCACTGGGCCTGAGCCCAGGATTTGGGGGAGGTGGTCTGGGGTCTCCCTGCTTGGATCCTGGTCAGGGAAGGCAGGGTGGGGACAGCCTGGATGACCCTCTGCAGCCCCAGGGGCGGGACTCGAGGAGTCGGGTCCTTTGTCAGCAGAAGCTGTGAGGTTGTGTCGCACCTTCGCAGTCTCCTTGGGCTGCAAAGGGGTCCTTGGGTGGTCTGCAGTTGAGTCGGGGGTCCCGGTCCGTGGCGCAGGCCCATCCCGGGGGTCCTCGTACTGACCGTCCCTCTACCCCTCCCCAACCAGAGCTGAAGATCCCGGACAACGCCAACGTGTTCTACGCCATGAACCCTACTGCCAACTATGACTTTGTCCTGAAGAAACGGACCTTCACCAAGGGGACAAAGGTCAGGCACGGCGCCAGCTCCACCCTCCCCCGCATGAAGCAGAAGGGGCTCAAGATCGCCAAGGGCCTCTTCTAGCTGGTCCCGTGTGCTGGCCCAGCCGCAGCGCGGCGCTGCCCAGGGTCGGGCTGGCCGGGCACCGAAGCACTTACAGACGACGGTGGCCGGGCCAGGCGGGCCCTTCTGCCCAGCCCGCCAGCCCGGGCCGCCCCCGGACTCCGTTCTCCCTGGACCTCCCCTGCCGCCGGGATTGATGCCTGCCCGCCGGCAGGCTGACCTGGCTCCCGTGGACCACTCGCCGCCTCAGGTGCCTTCTGCTCTCTGGAACCAGAGGACTAGCCGACTTTGCCAAGAGCGCTGCCCAGGGGCACGGAGCCCCGCCCGCCACCGGGCACGCCCTCGCTACACCTCCCTCGCGCCTTCCAGGCGTGGGGCACTGCCACCTGTGCCCGCGGGCACCGCTCACCCACTGGATCTGACCACTGCAGTTCTCTCCTCGCGCCCGTGGACACCAGCCGCGCCCTTCACGGGCAGGCCCCCCCGCCCTCTAGCCTCCCTCAGGCTGCACCAAAGATTCCATCGTCAGGGCCACGCGAGGGAGGGAGTCCCCACCCCAGCCCGCACCCCTCGGGGGGGACGCCCTCTTCACGGACCACTTGACCCGCGAGCGGGGACCGCCTCAGCCGAGTCCCACCGAAGCCACGTCTCAGACACTGCCACCCCCGCGGCACCCTGGGCTCCACGAGGCCACACGGGACGGGGTCGGTGGGGAGGGAGGACCTGGGGGAGGGGAAGGGGTCGAATATTTGTATAAAAGGCAAAACACATGTTTACCAGTTGGGGAGGGGCAATATTTATTTGTTGTAAATAGTAAATGCTAGACTTGAATATTATATTAAACCTGTTTCTACGATGGCCCGGGGATGGTGCTCATTTAAACGACACGCTCACGGGCAGTGTTCAGATCGGAAGGCGTGCGGGGCTGTGGGCTTCCTCTCTGCGGAAGAGACAGGCCAGCACCTGACTCCGGCTCCTTCAGACACCCAGCCCCTCCTTCCACAGAGCGCGTGGTGACTCTGGTGTCACAGGCGTGGGCAGCCGGCTGAGACAGAACCCGCAGGACCCCCGGTGGTGGAGGTCAGAGGGGCTCCCGTAGGGCGTGGCGCCATCTCTGATGTGGGGTGTCTTTAAGAATTACATTTGTGCCCTGGCCAGTTTGGCTCAGCGGTTAGAGCATCAGCCTGAGGTCCAGAGAGACCCGGGTTCGGTTCCCGCTAAGGGCACGTATCTCGGTTGCAGTTTGTTCCCGGCTCTGGTTGGTTGTGCGGGTGGCAGCCACTCGATGTTCCCTTTCACGTCGATGTTTCTCTCTCTCTCTTCCTCTCTCGCCCTCCCACTCTATCTGAACAAAAAATGGAAAAATGTCCTCGGGTGAGGATAAAAAAAAAAAAGAATTGCTTTTGTGACAGAGGCTGTTGGAGTTAGACGCTCTGGGGTCATCTCCATGGCAACAACCATCACGCTGGGGGAACCTAGCAGAATCAGCACATTTGGGGCTCTGGGACCTCATCAGGGCAGCCGGACGGAGGGGGTGCCACTGAACCTGACCAGGCGAGGACGTCTCTGCTGGCTCCCACACCGGCTGCAGAGACCAGGGGACAGAAACCAAGGGCGACACGCAGCCAGAAATGCAGGCTTTGTGAAGATCATTTGGGACCGTTGCTATAGAAACGGAGGGCTGCATCCCTCGGCCAGTCGGAAAAGCAGCCCCCAGGGAGGAGCGGTGAGCCTGGAGCCCCCACGCCACAGTGCACGGCACCGGGGTCTCAGGGCAAGGAGACAAGGCTCATTCCCGGGGGAAAACATTTGACGTTGAAATCACTGACCAGGGCCCCGTCCCCAGGGTCCTCGGTGTGGCTAAGGACTGCTCAGAAATGAAGAGGGTGAACGGGCACTGGGCACTGTGCCATGTCTGCACCTTGTGCTGGAATGTTCTCCACAAGGCGTGGCGTGCTGACCCCTGCTGCAGCAGGCGGCCTCGGGGACATGTTAGCTACAAGAAATAGCCATGGCCGGTGAGGCTCAGTGGATGGAGTGTCGTCCCGTGGACTGAGAGGTCCCAGTTCGATTCCTGGTCAGGGCACATGCCTGGGTTATGGACTTGATCCCCAGTAGAGGGCGTGAGGAGGCAGCCGATTGATGTTTCTCTCTCATCAATGTTTCTATCACTCCCCCTTCCTCTCTCTCTCAAAAAATAAATAAATAGCCCTGGCCGGTTTGGCTCAGCAGTTAGAGCATTGGCCCATGGACCAACGAGTCACGGGTTTGATTCCAGTCAAGGGCACGTCCTTGGTTGCTATTTGTCCCCAGCCCTGGTTGGGGTCGTGCGGGAGGCAGCCACTCAATGTGTCCCTTCCATGTCGATGTTTCTCTCTCTTTCTCTCTCTTCCTCTCTCTCCCTCCCACTCTATCTGAACAAAAAATGGAAAAATGTCCTCGAGTGAGGATAAAAAAATAAAATAAATATTTTAAAGAAATATCTAGAATAGGCAAATTGATTGAGACAGGAAGTAGAATGGGTTAGCAGGGGTGGGGGAGGGAGGCTACTGCCCAAGGGCACCAAGCTTCTGTGTGGGTGATGAACAACCTCCAACGAGGCAGCCAGGACAGCGCGGCAGCGGCATTCATTCCCGGGCGGCGCACCAGCGGATTCGGTGCGATGTCTATTTTACCCCGGTTTTTCAAAAGGAACAGTTTTGAGGACCAATTCCTGACCCAGGACAGGGCTGCCCTTCTTTGGAGGGAGAGGGAAGGAAAAGGCGGGGAGAGTATCAGCCGGTGGGCTCCGTCCGGGGACGTAGCTTTCTCAGTTCTCGGGGGGCTCATCATCCGGTACCTGGACTGGAGTCCTCCTGGGAGCCCGCGTGTCCGCGGGATTCCCTCTCCTGTCGGGGTTGTGTCCAGGGGAAGTATTTGTGGTGCCGCTTTCTGTTGTTATTAATCCTCACCCAAGGATATTTTTCCATTGATTTTTTAGAGTGGAAGGGAGGGAGGGAGGGAGGGAGGGAAGAGGAGAGAGAGATGCACACACACATCGATGTGAGACACATCGATTGGTTGCCTCCCGCACAACCCTGACCAGGGCTGGGGATTGAACCTGCTACTCAGATACATGCCCCTGACAGGACATTGAACCCACGACCCTTCGGTCCGAGGGCGGACGCTCTAACCGCTGAGCCAAACCGGCCAGGGCTGTGATGCCGCATTTAAGGGTCCGGCTGGGCCTCACTCCGTGTGAATTTGCACCCTGCGAACTAGGGTCGGCAGCATTCCTGCCACTGTTCGTACAGTTAATTTCACCCAGAAACATGAGCTGAAAGGCCCCCACCTCTCTGCAGGTACGTGGTGGCCGCTCATCCTGGCTCAGGTCTGAGGAGCCCGGGGTGAGTGTGGGTTTGCCAGGATTGAGGTGCCGATTCCAGCCAGTGAACCCCCCACCACCCCCTCTCTGGCCATGATGACCTTCAGGGCTGTGAGTTTCTGGGGTCCAATGTCAGCAGCTTCAGGTAGATGGGCCGGAGCCCTCAGAGCTTGTGTGTGGGGAAGGTTGAAAAGTGCAGCGTGGGGGGCAGATACCCCCAAGACTGCCGACCCATGGGCACAGCCTCGCCCACAGAAGACTGAGCCGTGTCCACCTGGTAAGCAGACGCCGTCCTGAGCTCACCCGAGTGCCCTCCTTCCAGGGTTCCACTGTGAGCAGAGCTGAAGGGGACACCTGGCCCAGCCGCGCCTCCAGGACCCTGGACAGCCTCCAGCCTGCCTCTTGGTAAGTACAGGATTTTCGACGTCAACCCCTGGCTACAGCCTGGAAGGGCAAAGCCAGTCGAGCTGTGGACCACCCTGAATCCTCCTGATGCCCACAGGTGTCGCCCAGACAGGCCCAGAGGCCCCGCCCCTGCCCGGGAGGCCTCCGTGCAGCCCGGACTGAGCACACACACGGGTCCCGCCATCCCTGCCACTCTGCCGTGGCCGGGCCATCCAGGGACGTGACTTCCTGAATGACAGGCAGATGAGACTGTGCACTCCCCAGCAAAGGACAGAAGTGTCACGTCCCAGGGCCGAGGGGTTGGTCTTGCGGCGCAGGAGGCCCCAGAGAGCCGACGGGCAGGTAGACACACGGGGGAAAGTCTCATGTTAGTGTGGCAGAGGGTGAGCACACTGGGAAGTCCTCGGGCCTCCACTGGCCAAGAGCAGGGACCGTCACCAGGAGAGGCCCACTCTCAGCGACAGCCATCCTCTCGGTCTTTGACACAGAGTCCCCTCTTCACCCCTGAGAGCCTTGTCCACGCCGGGGAGCCCAGGCGGCCAGGGGGTCACAGGCCAGCCCGAAGGCCCCTGCCCTCTGGGGGCCGGGTTTGTCTGCATGGTTCTGCTGCTGGGGCCATCGGACTCGGGTCCCCAGGCCCAGCCCCCCATCTGTGGGCCAGCTGTCCCCTGGTGCTGCCCCCGCCATACACACACCCACCCTCTGACCTCTGCCTCCTGCTCCCCTCCGGGCTCTGCCGGGGCACCCCAGCCCAGAACCCCCTGCTTTCGACAGTCCAGCTGAAGCTGTGTTCTGCCTTTGACTTGAATTCAGCTGAAGGCAGAATCCATTTCTCTCCCCAGGCCAGGTCCCCAGACCCGGGAGAGCAGGGGCCGCCGCCCAGACCCCGGAGGGCTTGGTGTGGCTGCGCTCCACTGGTGAGGGGGCCACCGTGCCCGGCCCGGCTCCCCACTCAGGTGTGGCAGAGCCCGGCCCCTCGAGCCAGCAGCCTGGCGTGGAGGGACCCACGCCTGAGTCCCAGCCCTGACTCTGACCCTGTTTCCTCCTGAAATGAGGGTGGCATTCTACTTTCTGAGCTGCAGACTGACAGGGACCCGGGCCGGCGACTGAGGTCACGAGAGCAAAGAAGACGCCAGCAAGGGAGGAGGCTTTATTCGGGGAGAGCTCAGGAGGGAGTGGGCTCCCTGGGGTCCCACCTGTGGCCTCTCTGGGCCAAGGGCCTTAGAAGCCGAAGACTGTAAGCAACTGAGCTCCCACAGAGTCACCTGTGGGGGGCTCAGGGGCAGCCTTGGAGTCACCCTTTGGAGGCTCAGGGGCAGCCTCAGAGTCACCCTTTGGAGGCTCAGGGGCGGCCTCAGAGTCACCCGTGGGGGGCTTGGGCCCGATCCCGTCTTCGGTCACCGTGGGCAGGGCCTGGTAGGTTTCAGCCCAGTACTGCAGGTAGTTGCTTCTCAGGTGCTGTTTCAAGGACGTGCCATCCATCTTCTTGTTGATATCCAGGTAGTTGTCATTTTCCAGGGTGTAGGGGTCCCATTGTGTGGGCACAGATGAGTGGCCCATGTTGGGGTCCCTGCAGAGTGAGAGAAAAGGCTATGTGGGGGCTGGGGGCTCACAGAGGCTGGAGTCCTGTGCCCGGACCTGGCATGGCCCCAGCTCGCCTGGGCAGCCCTCTGCCCTCTGTGCTGACCATCAGGGCCGCTCACGGTCTCCTGGGCCCAGCCAGCAGCTTCATCCGCACACACAGACAGCGTGACGAGGCTCAGGGAGGTGAAGTGTAAGTGAAGGGACGGGGACTGGAACCCAGACCTATAGGGCCAGTGGGGCAGGAGGCCCTGGCTCAGCCTCACCCCCTCCTTACCCAGTTCTGGCAAAGTTGGTCCAATAGGCCATCATGGTCTGAGAGACAGTCCTGTCTTGGGCCCGGTAGCCCAGGGGGGTGGCGAAGGGCTTCCCGAAGACATACTGGAGGTCATCTGCGTGGTCGGCCCCCATCCAGCTCGGGTAGATGGGCATCCGAGAGGGGAAGGAGAACAGGTAGCTGTAGGTCTTGGCACTCCTGAGGACGGGAGTGGAAACCCCAGGTGGGCAGGGTGCTCACCCGGGCTGCCCGGGCCAGAGATGGGTCCTGCGGGGCGGCCATGGGAAGGGCCTGAAGTCCCCCAGACTCATGAAGAACCTGGATCCTTCACCTGGGGAAGGGACGCTGTGCGTCTGTGGGTTCTGCAATGTCAAGTGTATTTGTCCCTCACCTCCACAGAACCCAGGGGGCACCTTCCTCCTCGAACTCAGCCTCAAGGAAGCTTTTCTTGTGCAAATGGATTTGGATTCTTCCTTTGATGGGGCAGGTGTGTGCCCTCGGACACACCAACAGGAGCTCAGAGCTGCATTTAAAGCTTTCGTCCCGGCCCTGGCCAGTTTGGCTCAGCGATAGTGCGTTGGCCCACGGACCAAAGAGTCGCAGGTTTGATTCCCAACAAGGGCACGACCTCGGAGGTCGTGCTGGAGGCAACCAGCCGATGTCTTTCTCACATCCGTGTTTCTCTCTCTCTCCCTCCCGCTCTATCTGAAGATAAATAGAAAATTATCCTTGGGTGAGGATTAAAAAAATAAATAGAGAAAGCTTTTGTCCCAGACTTCTGGGTACCATTGTATCTTCCTATGCGTGAAGCATTCCTAGCTTACTTTTTGTTTTCCTTGGCTATTATTATAACATGGAGTTTTGCGAGGTGGCCACAGGCCAAAGCCATTTTGAACGTTGGCAAAGTGGAAACCCACAACAGAGACTGCCATCCGGTGTTCTGTCCCCGCAGCGTGAGGGACAGAAGGCAGACTGGAGAACGTTGCGGGGGGGGTGGTGCTGTGGGCTGAGGGAGGGTTTCGTAAAGCCCCCCCGGGGGGGTGAGGAGGGGTCTTCTCGAGTCTTATCAGGCCTGGGCAAAGCAGGTGGTGCAGGCCCCGGTGGGGACCCGATCACGGCTTTCCCAGGCCTCCCAGACCCCTGTGAGCCGCCCACTGCTAAGGCCTCGGTGGGTAGGTGCATGACCCCAGGCGGGCCTCCCCCGCCCGGCGCTCACTTGGCATTGGCTCTGTGCTGGGCCAGGGTTTTCTTGGTGGGCATCAGGAAGAGGATGTCGGTCTCAAACTCCACCACTGTCTTCTTCTTGGTCTCCTGGGACGAGTCTTTGGCCCAGGGCGCAGTGTAGACGTCAAAGGTGTCTTTGGCACCCCTGTGCCCTTTGGAGATGGTGAGCCCGCTGACCAGCTTGAAGAAGTCCTCACTGCAGGGACCAAGCAGGCACTGGACTCTCCACCCAGGGCCAGCAGGAGGGGATCTGTCCCCCACCCCCGGGGACTGCAGATGGCCTTCCACACATGCAGACCCCCTCACTCAGCGGGCACTGCCCTGGGCACTGTGCCCTACTCACTCTGTGACAGTCTGTTTGTCCTTGTTGACGGCCGGCATGTCAAAGCTGGCAAAGATGTGGCCGTCCATGTCGTTGGTGCCAGCCATGTAGTCGATGTCGGCCGCATTGGCGAACAGGTTGATGGGGTGGTCAGGGATGAAGTCGCCGTCGATGACGGGGAGGGGGCCCATGTAGTGCACCACGGGATCTGTGGGGAGCAGAAGGTCCGCACACCTTCCGGAGCCCACCCGCGAGCCCCCGGCCATGGTGAGAGCCCTGCCTCCTTTGATGGAGACCAGGGCCCTCCCCGTCGCTCTGACATTGGAGCAGGATGAGGCTATGTCATGGCCCCAACCCGCTGGACGCCAGTGTCACCCCCTCCCCAGTATGACAACCCAAACTGTCTCCAGACAGCCACTGGGTCCCTGGGAGCAAAACCGTCTGGGCTGAGGCCGAGTCTGTCCCGCACGCCGTGGACATCCCTGTCCGCGCCCTCTCTTTTCGCTCCAAGTCGGGAGGAGAGAGACCAAGAGCAATTGGTAGCCGATGGAGAAAAGGTGGGCTTTGTTCTAGTCTGTGAGCCAGACACGGTACCAGGTCGGAATTGCCCTCCCGACTGCTGAGCTGACCCCGAAAGGACCCTAGGGCTGGCTCGGGGCCGGCCGGTTGGCCTCTGGTTCAGGGCGGTCGGTTGGCTGGTCTCCCTCTGGGGCTGTTGGCTTGGTTCCTTCCTGCCTAGCGCTTCTGGCTCCACGCGCAAATGGGGGCCCTGTGCTCGGCCTTGGAACGAGGGAGAAAGAACTGCAGCCTCTGGGCTGAGGACGCTGATGCTCCGAGGCCCCCTGCCTGGTCTGCCGCCTTCCTGGGGACCAGAGTCGCAGAGCTGGAGGGGCCCGTGCTGCAGCGGGCGTCCAGTGTGTGTGTGGAATACGTGAGTGGAGGAAGCTCGGACAGTCGCCCAGTACAGAGGCTCTCGGCCTGGGGTCCCCAGAATTATGTGCAAATGACTGTTTCCGTGGGCGTTGTCTGGGGCGGGCCCAAATGTTCATCATCTTCTCAAAGGGGTCGTGATCCATGGTGGATAGGAGGGAAGAATGTCCTCCCCCTCACAGCCGGTCGGGGCCACGGAGGCTTGCAAGGGTGGTGGCGGCCCGGAGCTGCCTAGGGACGCCAGGGCGCTGGTGACACAGCCTAGCCTCAGACCGGCACTTCTCCCCCCCCATGCGGAACCCCCACCCCGCGGAGCCCCCACTCACACTCCGTGCCCACCAGGGGTAGCTTATAGGCCAGCGTCAGGGCACGGGTGTCGGTAACCTTCAGACACTTGGCCATCCTGGCGGTATCGTCCATGGGGCAGCCCACCTTCTTGGCGATCTGGGGGTTTGGGGGAGACAGGTAGTGAGGCCAGCGCCGGGGCAGAGGGTGATGGGGTTCGGGACAGAGAGTGGAAAGAAGGAAGTCCTCCTCCTCTTCTAAAGCCACCCCGCGCAGCCCCTTTACCATTTTGGCCCAGAAGAGAGGGCTTTTCTGGATGGCCCAGGGGGTCAGTGCCACGCCACTCTGGCTGATGGCTCGCCGGATGAGGCCCTTGTTGTAGGGAGAGAGCATCTGCAACACACAGAGGTCCGACCTGTCGCCACGGCCTCGCCTCACTGTCCCAGGCTCCGCCACGGACAGCAGGACGTCAGCTTGTCCTGCTCCTCCCAACCCCGCTCCGCTCCCTCCAGCACCCTGGAGCGGGCCTGCCCCTCGGGGCTCCAGACCTGCAGAGAGACGCTGGCACCTCCGGCTGACTCCCCGAAGATGGTGATGTTGTTGGGGTCCCCCCCGAAGGCTGCAATGTTCCTCTTCACCCATGCAATGGCCATGTGCTGATCCCGGAGGCCGTAGTTACCTGGGGCGGGGTGGGGAGGGCCTTCATCAGGGACTGGGAATGGGGCGAGAACACCCTCCAAGAATGGAGGCCCTTGTCACTCCCCAGGATGGCATGGTGGGTCCCCAGGAGATTGGTTGAAGAGGGTGCTGGAGGGAGTGTGGGGCTCAGCAAGGGGACCTGGAGCAGGAGGGCCAGGCTGCTCATCTCTCTCCGACACAGTTCCTCTTGTCTGTCTGTCCTGCAGCTTCTGTCCCCCCCGTCACCGGCGTAATGTCCTCTGTCTTTCTCCGGCTCCCTGTGCCCACTCCCGGGTCCCTCTCGGGGTCCCTGTCTGTCTGTCTGGCAGCCTCCTGTCTTTCCTGCGTCTTACGGCCCATCTCCAGCCTCCTGGCTCTGCGAATGGAATTCTGGGCTTTTTGCTTTCCTGGGAGCTGTCAGCAGTCGTTTGGGATCGAGGGGCACAGAAGGGCACCCCTCCGGACTCCTCCACCCCTGTGCCCAAAGCGCCCAGCAGACCTGGCAGGTTGGGGTCCCCGGTGCTGAGGAAGCCCAGGGGCCCGACGCGGTAGTTGAAGGTGACCACGATGACGTTGCCCCGCGTGGCGAGCTCTTCCCCATCGTACAGGTAGTTTTTGAGGATGTTGGCCCCTTGGGCGGACCCCATGAGGTAGGCACCTCCGTAGATCCAGATCATGACAGGCAGGTTCTGGGAGACTAAGGCAGGAAAGCAGGCCCGGTGACCCCGGTCCCCCCCCCTTCTGGGTGCTGATTCAGGGACGTTCAGAAGGAGCTCCGGACACAACCGAGGGGCATCGCGGGAAACCCTGGCTGCCTGGGTGTTTCCTGCAGGGTTCGGGGAGCCGGAGGGCGGGGAGGGGCACACCTTCCTTCTTGCCCTGGGGGACCCAGATGTTGAGATAGAGGCAGTCCTCGGACCCGTAGGTGTCATCCTGGGTGATGGTGAGTTGCAGGCATCGTTTCTTGAAGGACTTCGCCTTCAGGGTCCCTGTGAGTGACCGGAGGGGCTGGCGTGAGGGTGGTGGCCCCACCCCTACTGCAGGGCCAGACCAACACCCACCCACTCCCACCTTGCCAGCCAGGGTGTGGCTGGGGGTTCTCCAGAGGCTTGGGGGGAGCGGCAAAGGGGATCCCCTTGAAGATGTCAACATAGTTGCCGAAGAGGCCGAGCTTCTTGTTGACGCCTTCCACGAAGCCTCCTTCCGTGTACACGGCGCCCAGCTGCAGGGAGAGGTGCAGGCTCAGCGGGCGGGCTGGGCAGCCGCAGTGGGTGGCCCGAGCAGCCCAGGGCCGAGCCAGCTTCAAGGAGCGGCCAGTCTGCCCCTGAGCTCAGACTCCTGCTTGCTCACTGAAGGCGCGGCCTGCTGCCCCAGGCTGTGCCACCCGCCGGGACCTCGGAGGAGGCTGCAGCCACCCTTGTGTCCCACTCCAGGAAGCCTCCGGCAAGGCCAGGACAGGCTGGGGCCTAGCTGGGACCATGAGCCTCAGTTTCCCCATCTGTAAGATGGGTGACAGCAGTGTCTGCTGCTTGGCCTGTTAGCTTGTCCAGCTACCGGCAATGGCAGACGCTTTGTGTGCTTCGTGCCCAGCTGTGAGCCCCCTGAGTGGGGGCCCTTTCCCTCCCCTTCTCCTCCCCTCATTCCAGCCCCACCCCCAGTCTTGTTGGCCTGCTGGGAGGGCCCCCACCCCCAGGCCATCGGAACCACTGCTGTGTATCCAGCCTGCGCACTGAGCTGGCCCCACATGGGCCAACACTCAGTCCTCGCGAGTGACCGGGGCTGGCGCTTGTCTGCCCCATGGCTGGAGGGAGCATGGACTTCCTGCTCGAAGTCACCCTGCTCTTCCCCTCTGGTGCTGCCCAGCCCGTCCAGGGCGGCGTTGGCAGGTCGAAGCTTCCGGCTCTTACCTGTGCTAGGTTCCAGTGGGCAAGGGCAGGGCAGCCCCGCACCCCAGGCCCTGCTGAGCTGGGCTGGGGAGTGGGGCGGCTGGCATTGGAGCCATGGGGCCAGAAGCAGCACCTGCCAGGTGCTTTGGGGCTGGGGCAGGGGGCCCAGAGGCAGGTGCCGACTCCCCTCCCCCCCCTGTCTCCCCAGGATCAGCTTTCCCGTTCCAGTTCTCCAGGCATTTTCCTGACCAGCCCCCTTGGCTGCTGGGATGGGGCAGAGGACCAGGTCAGTGCCTGGGAGACGGGGTGGTCACCTCTCAAAAGTGTCTCTGTGTGACTGAGCTTGGCCTGAGCGTCCCAGCGGAGAGGGTGAACAGCATGGCGACCCTGGCCGTCGGGGCAGTGGGCATACGTGGGGGGTGGCGCTGGGCCAGAGCAGCATGGAAAAAACCCGGTCCTTTTGGCCCATAGAAAGGGGCTCCCCAGAGAAGGGAAGGACCTCCTGTGGCAGCAGGAAGGGCCAGGACCAGTCTCTGAACCTCCAGGGAGGACAGGACTGAGGGAGCCGGATGGGGCGGGGAGACAGCAGGCTGGGGAACCGCACCGGGCACCGGGGCCCCCCGCTCAGGCCTGCGTACAGCCATTGGGGTTCTGCCCTTCCCCTGCTCCTCACACCCTGGAGGGCAGATAGGAAAGATACAAGTCCTCGGAAGCCTCCTGAGTCGCCCCAGAGGGGATCCAGCCACAGGCAAGCAGGTGGGTGTCTCGGGAGCCAGACTCCAGGTTGATTAGACGGAGTTCCAGACTCCTGTCGGACACCGGGCTGTGTGATGTTGGGCAGTTTGCTCGCCTGCTCGGGGCCCCCATCCCCCTCTGTACAAGGGGCATCGACCGCCCTGGACAGAGGAAGGAGCCAGAGGGCTGTGGTGGATCAGTTCTAAACTCAGCAGGTAAACATTCAGGGTGCCCAGGTACCTTCCAGTGTCAGATAAACGAGGGATTTTGTTTGTTTCTGGCATAAATGCGTCCTCTGTACTGTATGGAACATACCTACACCAACCTCGTGTTTATGGAACCCAGGCGAACTGGGCGCCGGATCCCACCTGTCCCTGAGTCGCTGTATGAGTGGGAACGCAGAAAGCGCAGGGACGTGCCCAGGAAAAGCGACTCTGTGGGTGCTGGTTCTCTCTCAGGCTGGCTCTTTCTGCCAGGGGCTCCTCTGTCAGCCTCCCCGCTGCGGTGCCTGCCCCCAGTGTCCAGGCCTGGTTCGGTGGGAGCAGAGAGGGGCTCTCGCTTACCTTTGCTGAGCTCACGACTGCCAAGCAGCAGGTGAGGCCTAAGACAGCCAGTGCAAGGCGCCCCATGGTGTGTGCCTGCCTCCAGGTGGTCCTGCCTCCAGCCCATGGGTATTTATGCTGGGCCCAGCCCGGGCTGGGCTGGCAGCTGCTTTTCCCTTTCCCCTCCTCCTACCTCTGCCCCTTCCTCCAGGCTGGCCGTACTCCAGGCAGGGCACCTGGGGCCAGGACACAGCTGCGGTTCCTGGCTGGGCTCAGGCTGGGCCAAGGTCATGCAGATTCATGCGCATGCTCACACATGCAGGGGGCCCACCTTTCTCAGGATCTGCGTGACAGGGTGCCTGGTGTCCACAGCGCACCTGTGCAGGTTACTGGGAATAGAGGCAGGTGGCACAGGGCAGGGGCTGCCAGGTGGGGCTTGGCTGGGGACACAGCGCCCTGCATTCGGGCTCATCTACAAGGGCTTGGTTTCACCCTCCGAGAAGTGGGCATGCTTCGTCCCCATGCCGTGCCCCCACCCGCCGAACTCCCGAGCTCAGCAAAGGGAGTGTATAGGGGACGGGGCATGTGACTTCTGGGACAGAGATGGCTGTGTGCGACTGGGCAGCCAGTGTGGCTGAGCCGAGGGCCTGCCGGTGTGCAGCCTGAGCTGGGCGTGGGGAGCCAGAGAGCGGAGGGCGTCCTGCTCTCGGTGTGGGGAGACCTCACGCTCAGCACGAGCAGTACTGGGAAGGGACAAGAGGCTCAGGCGGACACGGATGTCGAGGACGGGGCTCTAGCCCAGCCTGGTGGGCTTCCCTGAGAAGAAGGCAGGGCCTGGCTACAGAAATGCTCCAGAGCCCCTGGGTCATATCAGAGAGAGAGACAGAGACAGAGAGACAGGAGAGACAGAAGCAAGAACCGAGCTCAGAGAGTTACGGTCACAGTAAACGGGCCACCGCTGTTTCAGGGAGTGTGTTTTACGTCCGTAACCAGAGGTTGTTCAGAAGTGAAAGCCCACCATGGACAAAACCTCAGGCTCTTGCCTTTGAGGAGCTGGCTGCACAGCCATCTCCAGGGATGGGGTGTGCTCAGGAGCCAGGAGACACAAGCCACAGCCCCACCGAGGTCATGCCCGTGGCTGTCACCAACACCCATGTGGATCTACGCATACAGGTCACCCATCTGTCTGTTTGCCTGTCCACCTAACTCCGCCAGCACCCAGGTCTTTTGTGATGTAGGTGCGGAGGGGTTAGGACAGAAGGAGCCGGGCAGGCTGGGCTGGGGTTGGTAAGGACTGGGGAGCAGAGAGCTTGAGGGGTGCTGCCACAGACAAGGAAGTCCACCTGGTAACATGCCTTTTGCCAGCTGGCCCAGTGCTGAGCACCTGTTCTGAACACGGGGACAGGGACCTGTGTGCTCAGGGATACCCAGCGCAGTGCTGCTACGGAGGGAAGGAAGGGGGCAGAGCCCCCCATTTAATGACGGGGGCGGTTGCCTGTTTAACAAGAAGGGGCCCAGGTGGCCCTGCACAGAGTGGGCCCCGATAAACCCCGAGTGAGCATTCCCGGAAATATCCAGAAGAGACAAACTTGTCCGACCAACAAGAGGTAGCAGCTGGCTTCCTAGCCAAGTCAAATGTGTGCCCAAGTTAATCTTGCTTTAGGGAGCTGACTGCAGGGGTATTAATTTCACGGAAAAAAAATTTGGCCCATGTTTGAGATCTGACAAAGATTCTGTCCTTGAGAAAACTCCACTCAGTCTCTCCCGAACGGTCACCACCAGGTTTCTCTGTCTTGTCCAGCTTTGGAAAGAATCTGGAATCCACCACCCTCCTTATCTGATCACCCTCCCTATCGAATCCTGTTCCTCGTCCTCCACCAAGAATCCCGCTCGGTCAGTGTAGCCAGAATGGCCCTCACCACTAAGGTGCCCTACTCGTAATTTTCCATCCTTGGACCCCCTGCTCCGCGGCTATCGCTCCCCCTGCTCACGCTCTACAGAACGAAGCTCGGGTCCACACTCAGGTCTCCTCCCCATTGCAATCGCGTTGAATACAATCTGGTTTGGCCACTTTAGCCACTGTCTAGCTCTGGCTTTTCTTGGACAGTTATGGTGCCGTGAGTCAGCGAGGATCAGAGTCATCACTGGACCCCCGGACCTCTCACCAGGGCCCCGAGGGTGCCCCTCTGGAGGCTCTGTCCTCACTCCCGACTGAAGGCGGCCCGGTGGTCAGCTGGAGCCCTGGGCCAGCTCGGCATGAAGAGTGCTGAAGCGTGATGGGACAGGTTCCGGTGCTCAAGATTCTGAGGACACTAGAAGCTGGGCGGGAGTCCCGGGTAAACGGAGGCTGGGCGCGAGTTCTTAGTGTCCCTGGGAGAAGCTGGGTGGGACTCTTAAGCTTCTCTTCGTAAGAGCCTAGTCCCCGTGTTGGAGCCCAGGTTTTTCTGCTCATTGGTGCAAGGGGACCATCAGTTAACAACCCAGGAGCTTCTGGTTGACTGAAAACCCCTCCTCGCACCCCTGCTGACTACATGCATGTATTTGTGGGTGTGCATATTTTTCTGTGGGAAGAGTCCATGGCTATTATTGCATGCTTGGAGGGTCTATGGGTTCCCCAAATGTCTGTAAGAGGATCTGGGTAATTAGGCTGGAGGTATCCAGTTTTGAATTGATACGACTGACAAAGTAGCAAACTCGCCCTGTTGAGTTAGTGTAGCAGAACTTAAGCAAACACTTAAAAACATTGTTCCCAGGATGGAGCACATTCTGTGAAGGTAAACACACCGTGTGAACACCACACAAGGCAGATGCTACAAATTACAGACATGGGTGCAACCCAGGCCCTGCGACTCAACAGCGGTGCAGCCAGAGGTGGCTCTCACCTCTGTGACCCTCCCCACTGCTGCTTCCTACACACAGGGCGGGCAAGAGCAGGCTGACAACTGGGAGTCCATGAAACAGAGTTTATTTTTAAAAAAGGTTTTTGTTGATTTTAGAGAGAGAGAGAAACATTGATGTGAGAGACACACATCATCGGCTGCCTTCTGCACAACCCAGAGCAGGGCCGGGGATCGAACCTGTAACCCAGGAATGTGCCCTTGACTGGGAATTAAACCTGAGACCCTCGGTCCTCAGGTGGACACTGTAACCACTGGGCCAAACCAGCCAGACTCGCATGGTCTTCACAGCAATGATGATTGCCTGGCCTAGTGACGCCAAGAATGGCTGTTCTGCCCTGGCCAGTTTGGCTCAGCGGTTAGAGCGTCCGTCGGCCTGCGGTCCAGAGAGACCCAGGTTCGGTTCCCGCTAAGGGCGCGTACCTCTGTTGCAGTTTGTCCCTGGCCCTGGTTGGGTCGTGTGGGTGGCAGCCACTCCTTGTGTCCCTTTCATGTCGATGTTTCTCTCTCTGTTTCCCTCCCACTCTATCTGAACAAAATATGAAAAAATGTCCTCAGGTGAGGATTAAAAATAAAATAAGAAAAATAAAAATCAGTGGAAAGATCCTGGGGTGCGAAGGAACATATAAGGCCGACAGACCAGGCCCGAGCCTGCTGGTCAAGGCTCACCTCACTGCAGGGACCAAGCAGACATCAGTGCCCCCTAGCAGGACGAGCCTGCTGGCTAGGAAGAGGTCTTGAATCTGAATTGCTACCAAATTGTCAGTGTTTCTGTGAATAGTTTTTATTTTCCACAATAAAGCTTTTCAGAAAGTGGGGTGTAAGTATTTAGGGTCTAAGTGAGGAGTCACCGTCTACTTCTAAACGTGGGGGAGCCTGGAAGTGCGGCAGACGGCAGGCCGGCCGGTGAGGGCGGCTCAGCGCTGGGCTGGGTGCAGGCGGGGCCCAGGCTGCTCCTGGGAGGGCGGGACCAGAACCTAGACCCTCTCTGTGGGAGGCTAGCACAGCTTGGAAGTGGAGGAGCCCCAGCTGAGACCCCATGGCAGAGAGCAGAGGCCTGGAGGGAAAGCACCCGAAGGGAGGCAGAGGGAGGCATGGCGGGGCCCAGCCTGCCTCGAGGGGCTTCTGGCTGTGTGGGCTGTGCCCGGTCCCCAGCAGCAAGGAGCAGGGTCACCAGGGCAGCCAGCCTGGCCGGCTTCTCTACAAGGCGGTTCCCAGGACTGGGAGCCCCTGGGGCCCCTGGTCTGTCCTGGGAGGGCTCCCCAGGGACCCTTGGCTGCCTCTCTCTCATCCTGAGCTGCCAGGGGACCACAGGGTCCGTTTCCGCAGAGGCTCAAGAAGGCATCTGTCTGGAGCAGTAAGGGACCCGTGGACACGAGGCACTGGGCCCTGCGGATGGGCTCTCCCCCCGCCTGGCTGCAGCGTCGGGCCTGTCCTCAGCTGTCCTAGCACCACCCCCCAGGGCACGGAACTGGACTGAGGAACATCGATGGCCCGCGGGAGCCCAGACCGAGCAGGAGCGGTGGCATCAGGCCTATCCTCAGCTGTCCTAGCGCCACCCCCCAGGGCACGGAACTGGACTGAGGAACATCGATGGCCCGCGGGAGCCCAGACCGAGCAGGAGCGGTGGCATCAGGCCTGTTCTCAGCTGTCTCAGCGCCACCCCCCAGGGCACGGAACTGGACTGAGGAACATTGATGGCCCGCGGGAGCCCAGCCCGAGCAGGAGTGGCGACACCACGCTGACACCAGGTCTCCTGGGAAAGCATCTTTAATGAGGGCAGCACCAGCCGATCCTGCCTCTGCCAGGCTACCTGAGAGCTCAGGGTCCAAACCCAAATCCCCTGCCAGCTGTGACCATGCACCAGGCTCCAGCGCCACCTGCCCTTGGCCATGAGACCCAAGCCCAGCCTGCCCCACCCCCAGCTCCTGCTGCGGGCCAGTCGGGGGCGCAGGGCTGGGAGCCCAGGCTGGTCCTGCCTGGTCAGGGCTCGTCACACGTAGTCCAGAATCTCCGTCTCCATCTCGTTCTCACTCCCATCGGAGGGCTTGAAGTCCTCCTCCTCCTCCTCCTCCTCCTCCTCCTCCCCGGATTCGTAGGTCAGCGGCGGTTTCCCTCCGTCGCCATCAGCGTCCGCCTTGGCCGGGCTGGAGAAGAGGGCTGCAGCGGGAGACAAGCGTGTCCCACGGCCGGCTCCTGGCAGTGCCCCGAGCCCGAGCAGGCCTGGCCACTCCACTGCCCAGAGGTGCTCGGGCGCTGCATGGGCCCAGGAGTGTGCGTGACAATTGGCAAGTGCGTTTTTCTGGAGAGTGTCCGCAGCCTGAGTTAGATGGTCGAGGGCGCTGTGTCCCAAACGAGGCCAACAACCTCTGCTCCCGTCAGCTCTGTGGGGAGGGCCGGCTCTGGGACACCCCGTCCCGAGCCTGGAAGAAACCTCGGGGGGGCCCTCTTGCTCCGCTCCCACCCCTGCCCCAGGCTCATCAGCCCTCCAGCCCAGCAGCTCACGGGCGGCTGCCAGGGCTCCCGCGACCCCACGCTCGGAGGGCAGGCTGTGCGGGTGACAGGACGCGGCTCCTGCCGCCCCGTTCTCCCAGGGGGGCAGACAGACGGCACGTACACGCAGCCGGAAGCTGGCAGACGGTTCAGGGTATAAGGGCACCCCGACGGCAGCCTGGCGGGCTGGCTCCCGGGCTGAGGCCTGGCTCACGAGGCCCCCCTTCCACCAGCGTCAGAAACAAGGTGGGCCCCTTGGTAGTTTCTCAGAGTGGGCCCAGCGGAGACACCTGCTCTGTCGCCCTCCCCCGCGCTCTCACCGGGCCTCTTGGAGCGGATGGTCTGCCGGATCATGAGGGACATGGCGTTCCTCAGGTCGTCGCTGGTCTTGGGCAGGCACCACCCGTCGCGCTCCGTGCAGGTCTCCTCGGCCCCGTCATTGCGGTGAATGATCCTCTGCAACCTGGGGGCAGATTCCAGGGTGCTTCCTGCTAACGGGGCCAGTGCGGTGTGGCAGAGGGGCTGTGCTTGGAAAACAGCACTCAGAGCGATGCCGGAGGACGGGATGGCACGGAAGCATCCAGAAACGTGGGGCTCACCGGTGTGCTCGCTGGCCCCTCCGCGGCACAGCGGCAGGGGCGCCCACCCACTCCCTGGCGGTCACAGCTCTCAGCAGACTCCGACTGTGTGACGTGCGCCCAGCACCCTCCCCGGTTCCCTGAACGTCACTGAGAACAACCAGATCGAAGGTCCGGGATTCCGGTCGGTTCCGAAGGACCAGGGACGGTCACAGCCCACACATGGGCAGTGGAGGAAAGGCAGACGCCACAGGCGACTTGCCTGCGGCCAGCCCAGCACTGTGCCCGGGACACCGAATAGCCAGCGGCTCAGCGGTGTGGCCTGGCGACGCTGGGCGCTGCCCTGGGGGCCACACGAGCCCAGGCAGAGGACTCTCAGGCAGCACTGAGCCCCAGGCAGGCGAGCCGTCAGCTCAGGGAGTGAGGCTGACGGAGACGGAGGCCCTTTGGGGAGCCCTGGAGTCCCCGGCAGCTTCTCAGCCCTGCCCCCCAGCCCCACGCGGCGTCTCGGGCGCTCACGGACGTACTCTTGCACGTTCAGGTCGCACAGCTGGTAGAACATCTGTCGGTACGGTGGCAAGGCGCCCTCCCGGAAGATGTAAACTGAGTCCTGGGGAGAGGGGACACATGGGCAGGTCAGGGCGCGCTCCCCTGGGGCGGGCGGTGTCGGGGCCCCCACCCTGGGGCCCAGGGTCTCTCCAAGGAGTCCGCTGGTCCCCCCCAGGCAGGCCAGTGTCCTCCTGGATCCAGGTGGGGCAGACACGCCGAAGCCAGGAGTGGATATGGAGAAAACCAGCCGACTCCCTGGGACGTGCCATGGCAGGTGTCCCAGCAGCCTGGGGCTGGGCTCTGCCGCCTGTGCCCCTGACTTCTGCTCACGGCCGCCTTGTGTGGCCCTGCACGCCGCCCTGACGAGAGGCGGGAACTGCATGGCCACCCCGCGTCCCTACCCAGCCATGCAGCTCTAGAGGCAGGGGTGACGGCCTACAGTGAGGCCTGCGGGGACGGTGGTCAGGCTCGCTGACCAGGCACTGAGGCCCGGAAGCTGGCGCGGCCACTCACACACTTTGCCACCCCACGTGAGGCAGAAGACTCCCAGGTGGGGTATGCACCCTTCCCTACCCCCAGCCCGACTGTGGAGAGCTCGGATGAGCCTTTGGGAACGGCCACCAGTGCTGGGTGACCGCTGGTGAAGGTGTGAGCCTGTGAGGGCAGGACCCTGGGCACTTGTCCACGCCCGCACCCAGGGTCCCGAGGGGATGTGTGTGCGAGGCCCACACGAGGAGGTGTCCCTCCACCCTCCACTTCTCTCCCACCCAGGAGGGCAGCTGCCCTCCCAGGGCTCCGGGGGCACCCACCTTGAGCTTGTACTTGTTGGAGGCTGATTTCCGCCCGCCGGCTGTCCCCGCCGGGCCCAGGCCCTGCTTCAGGTCATGCATGGTGACAAGCTGGCTGGCTGCCAGGGACAAGAGCAGTGCTTTGGAAAACGGGGGTGTTTCTCCCACCTCCTCCAGCCTACCCCACCCCCGCCCCGGGGAGCGCTGGCCTGCAATGCCCTGGCTGTCCCTCAGGGAAACCCCCCCAGGCCAGACGCCATCTTGGGGAGGGCCCACCCACCAGAGCCAGCCCGAGGCACTTACATGTCTTTTTGACAGTGATGGGGAGGCTGTAGTTGTAGGTGCTGCGCTTGGCCTTCACGGGCATTTCGTTGGAGGCGTAACCTGCGGGGGGCGGGCAGGTGCAGGTGGGCCAGAGCCCCGTGTGCCGTGCTGGCCTCATGCTCCAGGCACAGGGCGCACGGCAGCTCCTGAGACGGGGGCGGGGACTGGACACTTAGTGGACGCCTGGCCTGTACCACAGGAGCCCAGAAGCTGGAATAACTGAATGAACGAGCGCAGCCCAGACCGAGCTCGGCCCCTCAGCAAGGGGAAGGCCGGTCACTGCTCCGCATGGACACGTGCCTCTTACAATAGGAGCGCTAGGAACACAGGCCAGAGAGGGCAAGGTTTTAGCAACGTTTACCGTATTTCATTCCACAGCGGATTCGGAAATCGAGGACTTGATAAATCTTGGCTTCTGGGTGTTTTCGGGGGTCATACCCGAATCGAATCCACAGGCTTCTCCAGGGGCCTGTTATCTGGAGACGGAAAAGGTGGGGGTGAGGCCAAGGCTCCCACATGCAGGCCCAGGACCCGCCCAGGGAGGGGCAGTGGACACCTCGAGGGGAGGAGACACGTCGGCCCGAGGACTGAAGGATCTCGGGTTCAATTTCTGGTTAAGAGCATGTACCTGGGTTGCAGGCTTGATCGCTGGCCCCAGTGGGGGTCGTGTGGGAGGCCACCCATCGATGTGCCTCTCTCACATCGATGTTTCTCTGCCTCTCCCTCCCACTCTATCTAGAAAGCAATGGAAACACCCTTGGGCGAGGATTAGAAACAAGAGCTGGAGACAAGGCTCCGGAACAACACCCCAGCTCCGCCATGTGTGCTGTCACCTCGGCAGGTCATCGGTCTTTCCAAGCCTTGGTCCCGTCAGATGGAGGTGGCGTGAGTCCCCCCAGATTTGTGGGGCGTGAACGGGATGAAGCCCCGCAGCCTGTACCACGATGCCTGGCATAGCGCGAGAGCTCAGTAAATGTCACGACTGTCCTGGGGGATGGCCTGTGCTGTCCCCAAGTGGCCCTCCCGAGGTCCTCATGTCTAGAAAGCTCAGGCTAAAAGGTAGACAGTGACTCTCCAAGTCAGGTCCAAGCACAGGAGATAAGCCTTTCTTGTGCCCACTGCCTGGCCTCCCTGTCACGGTCACATCTCACGCTGGCCTCGGCGATGCTGCATGGGGACCCTCAGCAGGCAGGATCCCTTCCCCTGAGCAACCCTGGGAACCTTAGTAATGACACCCCCATCTCCACCCGCCGGGACTGAGTCTAAGGTGGATCTCCCCAGGTAGAGCGCGTTGGGCCGGTGGGATAGTGGTTAGGGGCCCAGGCTCTGAAGTCAGAGGGCCAGGCCCCCAGGGGGCTGTGCCGCGCTGGTGTGACACCAGTCCTCAGAGGTAGGGATCTGCAGCCGCCCCGGGGGACAGGGCGAGGTGTGCACAGCACTCATCCCCGGGCCCGGTCCTTGGAACGTTCTTGGACAAGGTCATTTAAAGATGTACAATCTCTTTATGTAACTTATGAAATTATTCTTTAACCCTAAAATCATCCCAAATGGCCGAATGTGTTCTTGAGGCTGCAGAGACTTTCTAGGGCCGTGGGACAGGGCCACCGGCTCTTGCTGTGGCTGAGGTCCCATCCGGGATCAGCATGCCTGGGGAACCAAGGGGGCGGCTGGGCAGACACTCACCATGTAATAGGCCATGAAGGGAAGCAAGACCTTAAGCTTGTCAGGGTGGACGCTGATGTTGGTTCTAACGGCGTTGCGTGACCAGATGGGACGGATGTCAAACAGCTGGGGAGGGTCAGGGCAGAGGCCGAGATGAGCACAGGCAGCGCCCCGCCCACCAGCTGCCTCCGCGGCATGGTCCGGCCCGAGGACCCTTCCCAAAAGGAGCGGGTGGAGGGCAGGGGCCGAACCCGCAAGGACCAGCCTCCAGGAGTCAGTGTGCGCACCACGCATCCCCTCCCTCAGAAGCGGGACTGCGCGTCCAGCCTGCGACAAGTGTGGCTGCAGGGCCAGGGGTCCGGAACCACCATGAGGACAGTCTCTGTCCTAGCACAGCTCCCAGGGCAGCCGGGGAGGCAGATGAGCAAAGGAGCCAGAGCTCCAGGGTTCACGCAGCCACAACCAAGAGCGCGGTGCTGAGCTGGGACGCATGGAGGCCACGGCCCGGCCCGGCCCAGGGGAGGACGTAAGGCCAGTGTGGCTAGAGCATGGCCAGGGCAGGAGGGTCGTGTCCAGAGAACGATGCCAGGCCTGTGTCCCACCCCAACCAGCGATTGCCAGGAACGCAGCAAGGTGTCCACACAGCTCTTACCCCTGCCCCCACCCCAAGGAACAGCTAACTTCAGTACGTGGCGCCTCAGCCGGCTGTGAGGTGGCCTCAGAGAACCTGCTGTCCACAGCGCGTGGACACGAGGAGCAGAATGCCAGCCAGGACTGGGGGAGCACAGGCCTGGCACACGGTAGGCTGTGCCCATCTGGACCCTGCAGCTCCACAAGTTCATCAGGAAGGCTCTGGGACCCCAGGGCTCCACACCAAAGTCACATTTGAACAAGGCACCCACTGTTCACCTCCCAAAGGGAATTCTTGGAATTAGAGGCTTCTCAGAAGTGCTTTCAACCTTGGGAACCGGGCTCACACTGGCACCTGGAGATTTCTGGCGTGCTAACGAGCCAGGTTAAGAGTCAGCAGAGCCAACCACTGAGACAGGAGGGGGCGCTCACCTTCCGGAGCTCCTCCTCCACCTTCCGGTCAATGGGGTTGGTGCAGATCCTCCTCCAGGTCTGGACCGCAGCCTCCATCGGCTGCTCAGGCACCTCGTCCCCCTCGAAGTTCACGAAGATGGCGTTGTGAAGGCGCCGGGCCCTGCTCAGGCCGATGAGGTTCTCACCTGGGGCGGGGGGGTTGTTGTAGCCTTCCCTGGGGGCAGAGAGGTGATCAGACCCCGAGCACTGAAGGTGGCCCAGGTATAGGCTCAGGCCTGTGACACTGGTGGCCCACATTTTTGTGCTTTTCCCTGGAATGTGGGTTAGGGAGAAGGGCTTAGCGCCAGCTACTCCTGCCTGTTCTCAGGCTGACCACCAGGGAGAAGGGGCAGCGACTACCGAACAGCTTGGAGGGGCTCTGGGCCCGCAGCTCTGAGGCTGGGCAAGGCCAAAAGGTCCCAGAGGCTGAGGAGTGGGGGAGGCCCCGGGCACGAGGCTGGTGGCCTCAGACTGCACGACTCCTGCAAGCACCCATCAGCCTGTGCAGAACCAGAACAGCCTGAACGCCCCCGCAGGAACGGTGAGCGCGTAGCCACGCAGCCACAGGACACGGCCGACCTGCTGTCACTGCAGCTACGCTCACGACTTGTACACTTCGCGTAACGCTTGGACGACCTCCGAGGAAGGAGCCCCCTTCCTGTGAAGTGACTGCGGCCACAGGGGTCAGCAATCCGCCGGTCGGAGCTGGGACTCACGCCCAGCCAGGCTGCCACCTCCCACGGCACGTGAGTCTCGCCCAGAGGCATCTGGGCACGGCCAGTGAAGAAACTGGAGAAACAGGTGTCACAGGGCAGGGGTGGCGAGCAAGGGTTCTGACACCAGTTACGCTTGGGTCTCTCTCTTTTTTTTAATCCTCACCTGAGGACATTTTTCCATTTTTCTGTCCAGATAGAGTGGGAGGGAGAGAGAGGAAAAGAGAGAGAGAGAAACATCGATGTGAAAGGGACACATCGAGTGGCTGCCACCCGCACGACCCAACCAGGGCCGGGGACAAACTGCAACCGAGGTACGTGCCCTTAGCGGGAACCGAACCCGGGTCTCTCCGGACCGCCGCAGGCCGACGCTCTAATCGCTGAGCCAAACTGGCCAGGGCGGGTCTCTCTCTTTAGTTGGCACAGAACACACCCGGGCAAGTGAGTCCCAAGATGCCCAGAGTGTCACCTCTTTAAGGTGGGGTGTCAGGAATGTCAAACCTGTACTAAAGCAGGGAGGACGGTATGAAGAACCCCCATAAGCCCATCATTAGCTTCCCAACTGTCCGCACCCTACCCCGAACTCACTAAATTGTTCTCAGGTGCGTCCTAAAGTACTCCTGGATGCCACAGTTCTACTCGGGGGATGACCACCTGCGAACATCTCCTCACCTCACTGTCCCATAGGAGTGTGTGCCACCTGCACGTCTATAAAGAGCAGAGTGATTTCACACTGGGAAACAAAACTAGGAACACAGGCTCGAGTCCATCTTTCTTCAGAACCGTGGCTCCACTCGCACCACCCCGAGCAGGAGTGACAGTGTCCTATTTCCAGACATGCTGAAGGAGCGTCCTCACGCGGGACAGCCCCAGCCCCCTGGAGGAAGGCCCCCGGCCAGCCTCGCCCAGCCCTGCCCCCGAGCCCGAGGCCGCAGACCAGCAGCGCTGGGAGAAGAGGCAGGTGATTCATGTGCAGGAAGCCGATAAACCGCTTGGCGGGGACAGCAGGGCCTGTGGGTCCAAGGACAGCTGGCCCTCCTCCCCTGTGACCTCCCACAGGCTCGGGAGCAGCTGCTGCCGGCCCGAAGGCCGAGAAGTGACGCAGGTGCCGTCATGGGAGCCGGGGCCACAGCACGGAGGGGTTCTAGTCTTCTATACATTTGTGTTTGTTTCTGACTCTGAGTCAAATGCTTCTGAGGGAAAAATACCGAAAGCACCTCAGAAACGTCAGTTTTAACATGGAACCTGTCACCGCTGCTTCAAACTCAGCTGCCCCGCCTGTGACAGCCACAGAACCGTCCTCCACGGCGGGGGCTGGGACCCTGCAACCCTGTCTTTCCGACAAGCACGACTTCCTCCTGCCGTCAGGAAAGGGCTTGGGGGTGACGTCATGGACTCACCAGGCCTGAGATGCCAGCAGCGACCTGTGTCACCACCTGGCTCTGGCCCTTCGGAGCACCCGGGGAGGCAGAGCAAGGACTGTGCCCTGGGTGACGTCAGGAAGTGCTGCATCTGCTCACTACGGAACCAGCATCGCAGTGGGCTTTGCAAACAAGCCCCCGTTGGACACGGGACCTGTTTCTGGAGGGCGGGCTGTGCGGTGGGGTGGGGCGGGGGGGACGGGAGGTCATCGGAAAGTGGCTCGTCCCTGCAGCTGGTGATGGAGGTGGGGGTCCAGCAGACAATTCTCTCTACTTTTGGGTATGTTTGGAGCTTTCTACAATAATCATTTCTTAAGGAAGAGAACAATACCCCCCTTCCTTAGGAGACTATCAGATCCCTTAGCAAGACCTGTGATACGCTCACCCTACCTTTCTCGGGCTCTGCTCGGGGGTCACCGGCCCCGACTGTTCTTTGATGAGTCAATTCCCTGGTCTGGAATGTTCTCCCAGATTCCACCTGGCCAGCACTATCATCGCTCAGGTCTGTTTCCAGTGCCAGCTCCTCCGAGGGCCCTGACACCCTCAGCCCCCGCCCCACCCCGTCCACTGCGACCCACCCCCTTTCCTCTCACACACACGTGTGCACATGCATCATCCATGCGTGTTCCGCCCAGCTCCCCAGCCCTGGCCCAGCGCAGAGCCTCCGTGTCCTGTTCTCCCTCACACCAGGCTCCAGGGAATACGTGGGGCCATGACAGGTGGTGGCTACTTGGTGAAGGAAATACTTAAGGTAAGAGCAAGCTCCCATCCAGAGAGAACTGTCTGGGGCCCAATCTCCCAGGTGTTCCCAGGCTTCTAGCATCACACCAGGTTATCTGTGTACCACCAAATCTGCTCTAACACCTGCCTCTTTCACAGAGCAGGCACCCTGGACATGCGCACGTCTGTCTGTCCACACGAGGCTCTCACAGGCTGCATGGCGTTCCCTGGGAGCGACAGGCCGTTACTTAATTGGCCACGTCCCTACTCGGGACCGATCCCTGGTTTACTCACGTTATCACACCTTGCCAGGCAATCACACCGGGACCATTTCCAGAGTGTGCAGCTGCTCAGCCCCCAGCAGTGCAGAGCAGCATGTGCTGCCACCATGTGCTGCCACCGTGTCCCTTGCAGACAGGATGCTGCAGGGAAGGGCGGGCTCACCACGGCCGACTGCGGCCGGCGAGTCTGGACTCTCAGTTCCTCGCTGCGGCAACGATGAACAACGAACACTCCCGTAACTGTGCCTTTGAGCTCTCAGGTGAGAGTCACTGTGGGGTAAGCTCCTACGGCGACTGCTTGGCAAACAGGAAAAGAACGTCCAAAATTATAATAGGATTTTGCCAAGTTGCTTCCCAGAAAAGTTGACCTCATTCTTGGTGACCCTTCAGTAGGAATATGTCTGTTTATCTGAAACTCCAGGTGCACACTTTTGGGGGTGGGGATTCACTCTCCGTGGAGTGGGGCAGCCAAGCAAGCCCCCTGGGGAGCAGGGACCAGGGCGGGCTCTGCCAGGCCGTCTCTCTGGAGGACTGGGGCTGTGGGGCGAGCGCAGCTGGCAGACCTCGGCCAGCTGGAGGGGAGCTGCCCTCGGCTACCAGTTAGCAGGTGCTAAGGTCCTCCACAATTTTGGAAGCTTATAAGACGCTATGAATAACCCTTTAACAAGTATCCCACCTATGGACAATTTTTCAAAATGTCCCTTTCCTTTCGCTCATTTGTTTTTCCTAATCTTGAACCTCAGAGCCCACGCGCTGGTTCGCACACACCTGCAGGACTGCTCCTAGGCCAGGCTGTTCTGCACAGCAGGGTCATGGCGGAGGAAAGGAGGCCATGGGCGCGGACGCTAAAATCGAGGCACTTAAAAATCTTTGTCCTTTTGTGTGCAATTTGTATTTTGTGTTTTTATCCTCATCCGAGGACATTTTTGCATTTATCTTCAGATAGAGCAGGAAGGAGAGAGGGAGGAAGAGAGAGAAACATCGATGTGAGAGAGACACATCGAGTGGCTGTCACCCACATGACCCCAGCCAGGGCCGGGGACAAACTGCAACCGAGGTACGTTCCCGTAGCAGGAACGAACCCGGGACTCTCTGTTCCGTGGGCCGACGCTCTAACCGCTGAGCCAAACCGGCCAGGGCCTTCTGTGTATAATTTGAAAAAGTAAAGCATGCAAAAATACAGACAGTGTGGTGATAAGCAAGGCCTAGGGGTCAGAAGTTGGGGGCCCAGGGCTGCCATGGGTCCTGGACCAGTCACTGACCCTGAGTCCCAGCTCCTATTTGTCAAAACATGCATAGTGCTTATCCGAGATGCTAAATCACTGGCCATGGAGATGGTCACACTATTATTCTCGAATTGGGCATTTTCAAACTCATGTTTTTCTTTTCTTTTTAATACTATTCCATCGTGGCTTTTATGCAAGGAAATCCCACTCCTTCCTGTCAATGGGATGTAAAATGGACAACTGACACGTCCGGGCCTGCCTTGCCTATAACCCCTGGGGTCTCTCCTTACTGTCAAGGTTGTCTAAATGCAAGACTTCATTTCATTTACACAAACACAGCATTCACACGTGGCCTTTTGGGGTGTGTGCGGCAGCGGGGCTGGAGGCGGTGGTGATACAGACTACGACACGCGTCCAACTGGCTTTGCTGACCCTCAGTGCAGAGACACCACTTGGGTCGAGAGATGCACGTCCACGTGCTCAGCAGCTCGTGTTCTTGTGGGCAGACGGTGGCCCAGCACACGTGAGCAAGACCACGGCTACCACGAGAGCAATGGCGCTGAGAGATGGCACCCAGCTGGGGCGAACTGAGCTGCCGTTCGGAGGTGAGTGTGGCAAAGGGCGGTGGGCACAGCAAGGATGAATTACAAAGATGGCCATGAAGTCGCTGGCAGGGAGGGCACAGGGAGAGCAGGAGGGGACGGAGGTGGTGGAAAAGTCCTGGGCTCAGAGGAGATACTCGTAGGTGGAATTTCTTATGTAGTGTCATTACTGGTGACAGCAAGGTCCAGACAGCAATGACCAGGGACTAAGCCCAAACAGGCCTTTCTTGGCTGGAACCAAGTCCCTGAGCCAGGTTCTGTCCTTTAAGGGCCTTCAGCTCAGGAGCAGGCCAGCCGCCACGCACCAGGGCTTTCTCCGTGCCTAGCCCTCTGCTGAAACTTCTGTGCATTTATTTTTTAATCCTCACCCGAGAATATTTCTCCATTTATCTTCAGACAGAATGGGAGGGAGGAAGAGAGGAAGAGAAACATCGATGTGAAAGAGACACATCAATTGGTTGCCTCCCACACGACCCCAACCGGGGCTGGGGACCGAACTGCAACCGAGGTACGTGCCTTTGGCTAAAATCAAACCCGAGATTCTCTCATCCACGGTCCAACGCTCTAACCACTGAGCAAAACCAGCCAGGGAGAAAGTTCCGTGCATTTTAAATTTAACCGTAAGCCCCCGCTGGGTAGGTACTTGTTACCGGGTTTCTGAGATGGGGAGCTGAGGTCAGACAGGCTAACAGCGGGCCCGAGGCCCCCAACTCTGAATGGCAGAGTCGCACCTCAGACCGGACCCTTGCTCTGCTCCTGACGCTGCAGGGTGGGCTCACCGGTGCTGTGTCTCCGGCCGATAGAAGTAGTCCGCGGGCGTGTCCAGCCGGGAGAAGATGGGCGGGGGGATGTAGAGCGGCAGCTCCTGGTGGAAGAAGCCCTCCTTCTCGGGCCTGAGCATGAGCACTTTGTCATACATCGACCTGTGGTGGCCACCCGCTTCTGTGTGCACAGCCAAGTACTGGAAGTCGGACATTCCTGGAGAGAGAGGCAGACAGATGGCCGACACCGCACCAGGGACGACTGGCCTTACTACACCTGCCCAGGCAGCTGTCACACACCAACGCCCGTGTCTTCTTGGGAAGGCGCTGAGCGAGCCGCGCAGTGCAGGCTGCCGGGCCTTGGTGGCAGGAGCAGAAACCAGGGGCTTCCGAAACGCTCCCACGCACTCAGCTCTGCGCACTCCGGTCACCTGGACAGACAGTACCTAGGGTGGGGTTACGTGGTGCGTGAGAATAAAGTCTGGGTCAGCACTACTCAAAATGTCGGTGCACACGACCCCTGGGATCTGGCTAAGTGCAGACTCTGGGACTATTTCTACCGCCTCCCAGGTGAGCCAGGTGCCGCAGGTCCAGGGACGCACGCTGGCTGGTTAGGGGCTGGCTCAGACAGGAGAAGGAAACCACTTGGAAAGCCGTGTCTGGGCAGGACGACCTCTTCGTGGACCACATCCCACCAGAAAGAATGACAGTCAAAATGCCAACCCCTAGGCTCCTCGGTCCAGGTCCTGTTTTAGTTTCTTTTTACTTTCTAACCTCCTCACTTGAGGATATTTTCCCATCGATGTTTAGATAGAGTGGGAGGGAAGGAGAGAGAGAAACATAGATGTGAGAGAGACACATCAATTGGTTGCCTCCCACACAACCCCAACCAGGGCCAGGGATCGAACCCACAAACCAGGTATGCACCCTTGACTGGAAATCAAACCCACGACACTTTGGACCCTGGGCTGACGCTCCAACCACTCAGCCAACCCGGCCAGGGCTCAATCGTTACTCTCCTTAGAGTCTGGGAACTGCAGGTGCAGCTGGATGTTTCTAAGTGCCCCGGGCATCATCTCCCTGAATCTTCCCAAGGGCCTAATGAACTCAGGGCCCCACTGTCCAGACAGGGAGACTGAGGCGCGGGCAAGCCCGGCGACCTGCACAAAGAAACTCGCAGAGCTCAGGAAGGCACAATTTCCAAGTCTGTGTCCTTTCTCGCTCCCCCTCCTCCACCTCACTGCCTCCTCACTGGGGCTCCCTGTGGGTAGCAAACCTGACTGAGGACCCCACGGGAGACATCCAGCTGGCTAGGAGTCCAAGGGGCTGAGTGGTCTGAGAAGGCTCCCAAGGGGAGGCCACACAGGGCTGAGAACCGGCCCTCTAGCCCTTCCATTTGGCCCACACGACGCTTTGAGAAGGAGGGCACCTCACGGGAGTTCGGTTTCTCTGAAGAAGGCAGAAACCGAGCAGCAGTGAGCCCACGCGTGGTCTGCAGGGAAGAGGCTCCCTCACCTCCTGCCCCTCACGCCTGCGCAATCCTGGCTCACGTCACTTGTGTGGCTGACCCACCAGGCTCCTGCCGGCACTGGGAACACAGGCCCCGAGATACTGAGTGTGGTAAGAATGCATTTTGTAATTACCTTGAAATTTGTAAATGGTGGGGACGATGCCAAGGATCTCCACGTCGAAGGTGACCTGGGGGTGGGGCTCGGGCCCCGGCACCCCCTCCTGCCGCTTCGTCTTCCTCCTGACCCGGAGCAGCAGGCTGCTGGTACTAAAGCGGTTGGCGCATACGGGGTGGCAGTAAGGGTCCTTGGGCCGGAAGTACAGCTCCAGCCTCTTGGTGGGGTCTGCATAGATCTGTGGCGAGGCCACGGAGAAGGATGAAGCAGTGGCCAGCTACGCAGCTGGCAGGGAGCTGTTCTTCTCTCAAGCAAAGCCTCGGGATGACCCAGGTGACCGAGGAAGGGCCAGGAAACTCATGTTTCATTCAGAGCTCTTAGTTCCCCACTCGCTTTTCAAACCCAAGTATCTTAGCTTTTATCTGGCAGAGAATGAGGACAGTCTCCTCTTTCTCAGCAGCTGTGAGGCTGGAGGTAATCTCTGCCAGTTAAGTAACCCATCACGGCCAAGTGCGTGGCCAGTGCGGGAAATCATGTGACTCTGAGGGCGCTCCTCGGAGGTGTTGTCACCTGAGTTTTCCAAGGAGGTAACTGTGGCCACCTGTCCAGGGCTTCCTACTCTAGGAACTAACTACCCACCCAAGGGCCTTGGTATTCAGTGTCAAATGTAAGCGTTTCTAAGCCCGAATGAGATGAAATCCATCGGTAACAAGCATTTTGGCTCTGACTAGCCGTTACTTGTCCTTTGCAAGCCTTGATTCTGTCTCCCTAAAACGACATAATAACAGCACCTACTGATAGGAGTGTTACAACGATTAAATGGAAATACGTGTACAGCACTTGGCCCAGCACCTAGCTCATGGCAGACACTCAACACGTGACACGTGTCACCTATGTAAGAGTGCCTGCCCACGCAGTGTGTCAGCTACATGTGTGTGAAGGTGCCAAGACCATGTACTTGCCAGTGTTCCAGCTCCTCAGTACCCAGGACAGGGCCTGGCCCTTAGCATGTGCTCATGAAACATGTAGGGGAAGAAGGTTAAGAGGAGCCCAGCCCTCAGGAGCCTCTGCTCAGGAAACACGGGTCTCTGAGACTGCTGAGCTGCGAACGGCCCCAGGTACGGGCTTGGCACAGAGGAGGTGCTGAAAAACGTGAACGGAATGAATGAATAAGCAACCTCTTCCCAAAGGGCTCACACTGTAGTTGGAGTTAGTGGGAGTCAGGGTCCTGTCAATTCCACAGTAAAGGAAATAAGTGAGAATAAAAGAACTAAACATGCCAGGTGCCCCGGCCAGTGTGGCTCACTGGCTGAAGTGTCGTCCCATACACCAAAAGGTGGCGGGTTTGATCCCATCAGGGCACATGCCCAGGTTGCAGGTTCCATCCCCAGGTGCATGCGGGAGGCAACCGAATGATGTTTCTCTCTCACATCAATGTTTCTCCCTTCCTCTCTCTAAAATCAAAAAGAGAAAGAAAGAAAGAAAGAAAGAAAGAAAGAAAGAAAGAAAGAAGAAAGAAAAGAAAGACAAGAAAAGGACTGACCGGATGTCTATTAGCATCCATGCTTAATGACAGGTTCAAGGTTTTTTGTTTTAATTTTTTCTTTATTGATTTTATTTTATCTTATTTTATTTATTATTTTTTTATCCTCACCTGAGGACATTTTTGCATTTATCTACAGACAGAGTAGGAGGGAGAGAGTGGGGAAGAGAGAGAGAGAAACATCGATGTGAAAGAGACACATCGACTGGTTGCCACCCCCATGACCCCAACTGGGGAGGGGACAAACTGCAACTGAGGTATGTGCTCTTAATGGGAACCGAACCTGGGACTCTCTGGTCCACAGGCCAACGGTCTAACCACCAAGCCAAACTGGCCAGGACATTCTTTATTGATCTGAGAAAAAGGGAAAGGGAGAAGGAGAGATAGAAACATTGATGAGTGAGAACATCAATTGGCCACCTCCTGCATGCCACTGGGGATCCGGCCCACAACCTGGGCATGTGCCCTGACCGGGAATCAAACTGGTGAGACCTCTTGGTGCATGGGTTGATGATCAACCACTGAGCCACACCGGCCGGGTGGTTCAAGGTTTTTCTATATTCATAAAGGATGAAGAAGCAGCAGTGAAGAGTTCAAGCTTCAGAGAGGAGGCATGCATGAGTTCAAACCGTACCACGCAGGAGCTTGTCTAACCCAACCATTCTTACCTGTGTCTTTATCTTACAAGTAGGAGTAATCATTGTACCTAGCTCACTGGATTGTTGTGAAGACTTGATCATGCATTTGACAAATGTTTTGGAAGCAGGCACCGTTAGGGATGTTAGCACTACAGCAGTGAATGAGAGAGGAGGCCCTACCCTCAAGGAGTTTAGTCTTACAGCCAAGGGGCAAAGACAGACAATAAGCACAGTAACATATAGTTTCAGACTGGAATGAACAGCCCGAGGAGGCAGATATGAACTGCTAGAGGTCATGAACAAGTTCTTGGCTTGGTTTCTTTGTAAAGTGCAGACGATGACAATTCCCACCTGGCAGGGTTCTAATGAGAAAAGGATGTAAGCCAAGCTCCTAAAAGTGTGCCTGGTACAGAAAAGTTAACTGCTACTATCTTTAACCCTAATAACAGAACACTTCGTCCCCCTCTCGAGTAGGTTCTTAATGTCCACGTGCCTTAGTTTTCTACTCCAGTGAAAAGAGGATGTGGCGGCCCAGCACACCCTGCAGGGGCGCCGAGGCTGCGTCAGCCGAGGACGGGATGGGAAGGACACCTCCCCTTGTCCCTCTGCTTCCAGGGACCACCGCTCTGTTCCCCGCGGTCTCCCAAGCAAAGCCCCGCCCACTGTCCGCACCAGGGCCCGCCTAGGCTCCGTTGCCAAGGAAACCACACTCATCCCGCCGGGTGGCCCCGCCCCCCCGGCCGTAGTCCCACAACTCGGTCCCTCCCCCGTGGTCCCGGACTCCCCCCTCCTCACCCGAGAAACGCCTTCCTCGCCGCCCAGGGTCGACAGCATCTTGGACACGTCGCGCACCATGCCCGGGTACTCCACGCACACCAGACGCCGCTCGCGCCGCAGTTCCACTGGGATGGCGACCCCCGGCCCCGCGTCGGCCGCCCCCGCTGCCATGCCCGCGGGTCTGGCCTGGCCCGCCGCGGTCCTTTCCTCCGCGTGCTCCCAGAGGCCCCTTCGCTCCGATGGTTCCGCGAAGGATTCGTTCCGGCCTCCCTCCCAGCTCGCTTTTCTCTAAATCTCTGGGCTCAGCGAGACTCCAAGGCCTCTGGGAGCAAAGGTCCAGGGAAGGCCCCCCGGCTTCGGGGTTAACTACCACTCTGTCCTCGACACTGTGTTTTTAAAATGAAGGGGTTTGCCCGAGGGGCGGGGCAAGGGCCTGTCTCACGTTCCCGCGACGGACCCGGAGTAGTAGGACACCGCCCACCTCTCGACTTTAGCCAATGAGAACCCAAAGCCGAGCCAAGATTTTAGCCAATGAACTGTCAGGCGGAAGCCATATCCCACCTCTTCCTCTAGCTTCATAGTTTTAGCCAATAAAGAGCTAGGACTAGACCAAGTCCCCGCCCCTTCCTCAGTTCCACTCAATGACGGCTCCGAGCGAGCCAAAACCTTCTTCCGACCCGCCTTCCAGCGTGGGAGGTCGCAGGAAGGAATTGATTTCCGGGACGCGGAGTTTGATGAGCTTTTTCTTGAGGCCGGGGGCCACCACTCCTGCAGCCCCCGCTGCTGCAGGACGGGTTTCTAGCTGCAGGAGGAGCCCTGGGCGGGGGCAGGGGTCGATCTGGAAATGGCGAGCGCGAGGGAATTGCAGTTTGGCTTTTTGTTTGTTTTTCTTTTGTTTCATTCAATATTTTTCCTTAAAAATTTTTTTTTTTAATTTAGAGGGAATTGCGCTTCGAATGCTCGCCAATACCCACGTCAGCCCTAGATGTCTTAGTGGTTAAATGCCAGTTGTGTGTTGGGTACTACTCAGGACCTAACAGAGAAGCATTATTAATCAGCTGTGGTGGGGGCACTGGTGGGGGGCTGCTGACAGCCACCGGAAGCTGGAAGAGGCCGGCAGGACCCTCCTCTAGAGTCGTCAGTGGGAGCATGGCCCTGCGACACCTGGGGTTTGGACTTCTGGCTTCCAGAACTGGGAGAATGCATTTTTGTTGGGTTCTGAGCCACCTGGTTTGTGGGACATTGTTACGGCAGCCACAGGACACTAGGACTGAAGGACGGAGCCCTTGACCTTCTAAAGCATTTTCGGGATTCGTTTTTGAATCCTGCCATTTCTATCATGCGTGGGTGGTTTTTCTTCTCTCTCGAGTTACAGGAAGTCCTTCACTCTGTGGCAGACCTCCCCCCTCATCCCTTAGCCCTTTCATGAGATCAGAGACCCCCCATTCCCAGGCTGGGGGCTCTCTCCGAGGTGCTGACTTGGCACCATCATCACAGCAGAGGATTAAAAGCCCCACGCGAGGCCTGGGTGGCTGAGCTGCACCAAGAATCCTGTAACAAGTGTTCCCTGGGCGCCCACTGTGCGGGACCCTGTGCTCAGCTCAGCCCATGCCACAGAGAAAATGGCAAGCCCCACCCTGGCAGAGCTCATCTGATTAGCGGAGACAGACAGCAAGCAAATGAAATGTCTAAGCAAGACCAAGCAATGAAGACGCAAGGAGAATCAAGCCCCGTGTGTGTCCAGCTGCTTTCCCACAATCAGCCCTGCAGGTCTGTTTCCCCAACGTGCTCACCCCATTCCTCCTGACCCAATAAGTCACAAAGAGAGTTCTCCACCAGGTCCCCTCAGGCTCAGACCCTTCCTGTGCAGCTAGGCACCCTGGGGCAGGAGTGAGTGGGGTGGCTGGCACCTCCAATGCCCCTCTACCCACTGCCCTTGTCCCCAAGCGCTCAGGAGGTGTGGACAGCTCTTGGCTGTCCCAGTGTCTGACCAAGTCCCAGCTTGTGCTTCCTGGTTGAGAACACAACAGCCTTGTCTGCAGAGGTGCCCAGGGCTTTGGAAAAGGGCTGCTGGCTGATTGACAGGGACCAATCCCATGGGGTCGGTGACACCCCTTGCCACCCCTCGATCCCCACATCTGACTCTGGTTCAGGGTCTGAATGCTCTCTGGGCAGCCCCTTCTGTGAGGGAAACTGAAGTAGGGAGCTTACTGATCCTTTATTAATTGAGGGCAAGGAGGGCTTTGGAAAATGTTTTCTTTGGGCTCCATAATTTGAATATTTGTTCCTGGGCCGCTGGTCAGGCTCTGGAGCACGCAGTGTTTAATATTCCCCAGCCCCAACTGGATTCTCATTGCATCTTAAGGACCGGGGAGAAGTCGAAGTGTTCACTTTCAGCCACCAGATGACGACAGAGCGTCCTCGTGCACAACACTGCCACTTGGTGGTCATCAGTGCCCATGACACCTGGAAGAAAGGGCAAAGTGGCCACTGAAGTATGAGAAAGGGTCTGGGGCGCAGCGAACCCACTTTCCTAAGAGGACTGTGGGGGTCAGCAGCCCGCTCCCTGTCAGGTCCGACCATAGGGAGAATGGATGAGTGGATAAACAAAATATGGTCTATCCACACAATGGAACATTGTTCAGCCTTAAAAAAGAAGGAAATTCTGACACCTGCTGCATGGATGAACCTTGAGGACATGATGCTAAGGAAATAAGCCAGTCACAGAAGGACAGACACTGTATGATTGCACTTCTGTGAGGTCCCTAGAGGAGTAAAATCCACGGGGCAGGAAGGAGGACGGTGGTTGCCTGGGCCCAGGGCGAGGGGAAAACAATGTTTTGAGGGACAGTTACGTTTTGCAATGTGGAAAGCCCATCCCCCAAACCTTCCCTCTGCTCCTGCCTGGGGTATAGAGACAGCCTCTCTCTGACTCTCCTGCCCCAGCTCTCTATTGCTCCTCCCTCCGTGGGTGTTGGTGACCTCTCTCTCTGTCTCTCTCTCCCTCTCTCTCTCTCTTTAAGATTTTTAATTTCTTGGATTCTTAGAGGAAGGGAGGAGAGAGAGAATAATCAGTGTGAGAGCGAAACATCGAATCGGCTGCCTCCTGCACACCCCCTACCAGGGGTCGAGCCCACAACCCGGGCATGTGCCCTGACCAGGAATGAAACCAGCAACCCTTTCAGTGCACAGGACAACACCCAACCAACTGAGCCACACTGGCCAGGGCGACATCTCTCTTTTCAAAAAAATCTTCAGTGGAAGGGTCCTGATCAGAAAGCGTGCGTAACTGCATCTTGATGACTTTTTGCAGGTGAACACACCTGTGTAGCTGCTGCACAAGTCAAGCAATAGAACATCCGTTGCCTGTATCTCAGAAGTCTCCCCTTCCTTTTATGATTGGGGTTCCTTTTACAGTATCCTGAGAAATTTTTTCCTACCTCAAATTCATGAAAAGATGTTCTAGAACAGTGGTTCTCAACCTGTGGGTCGCGAGCCCTTTGGGGGTCGAACGACCCTTTGACGGGTCACCTAAGACCATCGGAAAACACACATTTCCGATGGCAATTCATAACAAAATTACAGTTATGAAGTAGCAACAAAAATAATTTTATGGTTGGGGGTCACCACAACATGAGGAACTGTATTAAAGGGTCGCGGCATTAGGAAGGTTGAGAACCACTGTTCTAGAAGCTTTATAGTTTTAACTCATCCCGTGTTTTTTCATTGCTATGGTGGGATCAGTTGTTTCACACAATTTCCTCCATCCCAACTGAAAGTGAAACTTCTCTAAGGTCTCATGTCCGTACCACCTGAAATGTTGCCCCCTCTCCTTCCCCCTCCCCTTCTCCCTCTCCATCACACCCTCAGTCGAAAGGGTTTCCAACAGCCATTGTGGTTCCTTTTTGTTTGTTTGTTGTTGTTTTTATTTGTGGGTTACTTAGAAGTCTATTGATTAATATCCAAAAATTGGGGAATTTTTATTTTATTTTTTTAATTTTTTATCTTTATTGTTGAATGTATTACAGATGTTCCTCATTTTCCCCCCATTGACCCCCTCCTCCCCACTCCTACCTACCTCCCGCCTTTTCCCACACTGTTGTCTGTGTCCATTGGTTATGCATATAAGTTCTTTGGTTTATTTCTTCCCATCCTCCAACCCCCTTCTCTTTGAGGTTTGTCAGTCTAGCAATGAATTTGTACTTTTTAATCCCTTCACCCTTTTCACCCATTCCCCCAACCCCCTTCCCATCTGGCAACCAACAAAATGTTCTCTGTACCTATGAGAATGTTTCTGTTCTGACTGTTCATTTTGTTTGTAGATTCCATTGTCGATAGATATGTATTCATTGCCATTTTGTTTGTTCATATATTTTATTTTATTTATTTATTTATTTATTTATTTTTTTAATCCTCACCCGAGGACATTTTTCCATTTTTTGTTCATATAGAGTGGGAGGGGGAGAGAGGACGAGAGAGAGAGAGAAACATCGACGTGAAAGGGACACATCAAGTGGCTGCCACCCGCATGACCAACCAGGGCCGGGGACAAACTGCAACCGAGCTACATGCCCTTAGTGGGAACCGAACCCGGGTCTCTCTGGACCGCAGGCCGACGCTCTAACCGCTGAGCCAAACCGGCCAGGGCTCATATATATATATATTTTTTTCAAACAGACCCTTCATCATTTCATATAACGGTTTGGTGGTGATGAACTCCTTTAACTTGTTCTTGTCTGGGAAAGTTTATATGGCTATCGATTCTAAATGACAGCTTTGCAGGATAGAGTAATCTCGGTTGTAGGTTCTTGCTTTTTATCACTCTGAATATTTCTTGCCACTTCCTTCTGGCCTGCAAAGTTTCTTTTGAGAAATCAGCTGACTGTCTTATGGGAACTCTTTTGTAGGTAACTAACTGCTTTTCTCTTGCTGCTTTTAAGATTCTCTCTTTGTCTTGAACCTTTTGCATTTTGATGATGATGTGTCTTGGTGTGGGCCTCTTGGGGTTCATCTTGCTTGGGGCTCTCTGTGCTTCCTGGACTTGTATGTCTGTTTCCTTCACCAAGTTAGGGAAGTTTTCTGCCATTATTGTTTCAAATAGGTTTTCGATTTCTTGTTCTCGCTCTTCTCCTTCTGGCACCCCCAAGATGCGAAGGTTGGCACGCTTGAAGTTGTCCCAG